CAACATCAGAGATCTGCTTACAAGAAAGAAAGTTGCACTTAATATCCCACCACTTTGCAAAGGTACCTTTCCAATAAAGGGAGCTAATGGGGTAGGGGTGGAAGAGGGTATGCTAAGATAAAACAGAAGGTCTCCCTGGACAAAGTAAAAAAAAAAAAAAAAAAAAAAACCAGATATAACAGCATCCATTACTTGTTGCTTGTAAAAAGGATCTTTCTAACTAAACAGAAGTTTCTTAGGAATATTTTTTATATTATAGGGTTAAGTTGAACTGCTCAAAGATAAAGGTAGTCTCTACTAACTTCCAAACATGTCTACATAGCAGGGGTGGATCCAGAAAATTCAGAAAGAGCTGGTGTGAGGCAGTGGTTTGCCACTTCCACCCATCCAATAATTTAGTACAGGTTTTGTTTGGAAAAAAGGTTTCCAAAAAAGCAAGTACTTTACTATCAGTACCTTTTGAATTGGCATTTACTTCATTCAAAATCCTTTTTTCTCCTCTTACACAGGAAAGCAACTTTCAAAAAAGGCAGTAAAATCTACCCGTACCATTGCAAGTGTTCGGATCCACGTTGAACGTGCTATTGGACGTCTTAAGGACTTTAGAATTCTACAAGGGAACTTCCTTCTTCAAATGCTACCCACTGCAGACAATATTCTAAGTGTTTGTGCTGCTCTGTGTAATTTGCTACCACCACTGGCCAAATGACTGACGCATTTGTCCAGAGAGCAGAAAAGCAGACCTACTTAGTGTATGTAAATGGTAAATGAAACATGTATTAAACGTATCCAGAGACAGATCAATAAAATTATGTGGTATCTAATCCAGCACAGACAAAAACACTATTAATTTTAAGCACCTTCACTTTTACAATCAGCATCTAACGGCAGTCACTCTATAATGACTTAAGTATGTCATGGTGGAATAGTTCCTGAACTATATACTCCACGAAGAAGTTTCTCAGCTTTTGGAGCATTTCACTCCACAAATCACTATCAAACTTAACGTTTACAATCAATATTCCTTTGAGGGTATATATAACTAGATCACAGCGATGAATCCCTGTTATCCCCATCAGTCCCTGGATTTGGTAGTTCCATTTGGTTTCTTTTTTTTAATTTCATACTTGCCATCCACAAGCATGAGGTTCTCCTCAGCTGCAACATGTGGAGGGAGATTTCTTTTGCATACATGCTTTTAACTTCAATTAACTTCTTTTGGCAGCAAGCACAAATCCTTATACCATCAGGACTGGCTCCTAAGAAGGGCCATAATGTGTTTACAATGAGTCCACTTTTTCTATTGACAACTTTTCATGATTTTTGTTCTGTTTTTTTATGTAAAGACTAAGTGCTCGCTTTTCTTTTTCATGCCCCCATGTCAACTGTCGTGGCATGGCATCTTCAGCAATTGGACAGTAATTCATGAGATGTTTAATAGTGTTTCTTCTGTCTGTGCTGCTCTCTCTAAGGTGGCACACAGTGTAAAATGAGGAAGCTGTAATTCTTCCTGCCCTTTGATCAAACCAAAATTGAGACTGGGATTGATAGACAGTTTTCTTGTTGATCATTTCTGCTTGCTCTTCATTAAATGGAATAGACTCGAGGAATTCAACTGCAAGTTCTTTAGAAACTGTAGGCATCACTTTCTCAGTATTAACAGAAACAAACACTTTGGCGTAATCATTCATTGAATATACATGTACACTTTGAACACTTTCTTCTTTACAGACATTAACATCACTGCTGATGAAAGCTCTGACTTCTTCCTCTGTATGCCTGGGTCCTTTAGTTGAAGATAAAAAAGGCAGAGCTGAAGAGCTAGGACATGTTTCCAGCAACCCAGCTTTAAAATCTTGTTCCAGTTCAGTCACATTATAGGGAATACAAATTGGATTAAAATCTCTTGGGTGAATTGGGTCTTTCAATGTCACACCGTAACTACCACTCGTTTGAAGGTCCTGTATGGGCAAACTTCCCTCATTTCTCTTTCTCTCTTTTTCCACATGCACTGTCCTGATGTACATGATTGGAGATCATTGAATCTCACATTTGCTTCTAGATCAAACAATGCTGCAGCTATGTGCGGCAACCTCCATCTGCCCTGTTTAAAGGAGGACCAATATGACAAATATGTATCTCACATTGTTCACACTGATAGACTGTAAAGTAGCCAATAAGTTCAGTTACTAGGCTCACAGATTCTGACTTTGAACCACTGTTTTAATACTTAGTGCTGAAGTCATAAGTGATCCAGAAGGTTTGAGACTTAAAATAATGCATCCATTGATTTAGATCTTTAATTCAGGAGGCATCTACTTTTTACTCATGTTACAACTGCTACAAGGAAAATATAAACCTTCGAATCTGAATAAAACAAAACCTGTCACAGAGAAAAACAACCGAAAAGACCAAAGGTTTTGATTCTCAAACGTATGTTTATGGAATATCAAGCACATAGACAGGCTTCAGAAATCAAAAGAAGAAAATACATACCCTCCTTTGCATAAGCAGTAGGCTGAATTGACACTTCCATCCTTCTTTAAAATGAAAAACCCTCTGTATGTTGCTGAACCATCATCAGTCTTGGATTTTTCAGTTGGCTTTACAGCAAACTTAAAATAACTGTAATTACTATTGGGTTGAGGTGGATGATACCAAAGTTCTTCCACATGTCCATCAAAAAATAATTTGTACCCCAATAAAGATTTGTAACTTTTTAGGCTTTCGCTGTTGTATACGGGATCTTTACCCACCAGGTAATTAAAAAGATCGGGGAATCGAAAGTCCGGTACGTTAGTAAAGTTTTTGTTCCATTGGGAAAAAACACGGTTTTTGTTATCCAACGGATTTGCGAGATCTCCCTCATCGGTTTTCAGTTGCTCTTTCATAGAAACTCTTGGATCGACTGGTGCTTCCTCTTCAGCAATGTTTGGGACTTTCATCTCCTCACTTTTCTCACAAAGTTCTACCAGTTCAACCTTACGTTTTCCTGAGTTTTGAATGCCCCTTTGTTTTAAGTATTCTTTTAACCAAGGAACCGGTTTACAGTGAAAACTGCCTGCAGCAGAGTCAGCCATCTTGTGTCCTCTAAGCCTCGCTTACATGCGACTACCTAGTTCTCAGGAGTGCGCGGTCAAAAATATCGAAAGGACCCTATTCGAGTGAAGGGAAAATCTTTTCGCGCCAAAATGTAGTTATACAAACATCCCGTATGTAAAGTGTAGCGAAACTCTTATCATTTCCGGTTCCTGTATATTTTTACTTCCGCTTCCTTTCGAATTGAAATTTTGGTTTTTCGAATTCGAATATGTGACGTGACTTTAAGTTCAAATTAAAGGTTTCATTTGGAATTTTGTGGGAGATTATGGTTGCATTGTTGACGATTAAGTAGCTTATTAGAGTGGAGAAGGTGAATTGAAGTTCAAGTCATGTAATTTACATTTTAGTTGAAATGGTGATTTGAACTTCAACATCCGCGATGTCGAGTTTTCCGTTTATAGTTTCAGCCTGTTCAAAGTAGTAACTTCAAGTTCGAATGATGCTATTTCGACTGCGTTCATTGCGATTTCAAATTCATATGACGAGATTTCGACATGGATAGTCTAATTTTTGAACTTCAAATTGTATTTTATTTTCATATATTTTTGTCCGCAAATGTACGCCATACATTCCAGACCTTTTGTTTGACTGCTCGCGCGTACTTGAATACGCAAAAATACGGACTGTTTTGCAGTCTATCACGCGGAGAAAAATCAGGAACAACCTCTGGAACCAGGATATATAGCTAGGTGTAAATACCGCGAGCTTTATACTCCCCCCCACCCCCTGCAAGAAGAAGTTTCTTTCCGGCATGGATTTTAGCATTCCAGTCTACATATATTGACCTCCAAAATTCTAAATTTCTGAGACTTATGAATGTACATAATACAGCTTTACTGCACTTTTCACAAACATGCGAACTCTAAAGTTCAAAAGCCGCTTTCGCAATTGCGTTTTTCGCTGCCGTCAATCATAATTACGACCACAAGCAACGAACCTTGAAACACAGAAAAACACAAAACGGATCGAAATCCACCAATCACAAATCACAAAATTTGACCTTTTGAACCCATTAAAGTAAAGTCTTGTTTCCTAAGAGGTCCGTTAAGATGATTGACGGCAGCGAAAAACGCAATCGTCAGTTGGCTTTTGAACTTCAGAAACATATCCAAAATTCGCAGCAATTTTCCTATCGAACGCGGGTTCGTGACTTAAAATTCCCGCCATGCCATGATGTTCCTGTTTGTTTCCCGGGACTGATGATGGGATTTGGAAGGTCGCGAGTTCGACTCTCGCCCGGGGCACGAAAATTTTCGTTGCCCCGGGCAAGCATGGTTTCTCCTTCTCCCAAGTGAAAATGTTCACTGGAAGTGTAAGTGTGCTGCTCACAAGTGCACATTAAAAAAATAATAAATAATAATAAGAAAATAAAATAGTTTGTATGTGTAAATAATAACAACTTATATAAAAACCATGATTAAAATTTTGTTTGTGTCAATAATTATTATGCTTTATGAGTATGGTCTTAAAAAAGTCCGTCAGTACTTTGCAGAAGCGTAACTATGCGCCTAAAAAAATTAAAACCCTGAGTGGTTTTGGTGGATGTAGACTTCAACATCCACCAAAACCACCGAGAGTGTTCGGTGCTAGATGTGTATCACGTAGACCCATGAAATCTGAAACATATTTTAAAACTTCACGTACAATATTTGCTAAAATACAGTTATACTCGTTATATTCACCCTTTGTTGGCGAGAACTCGATCTCCCAAATATTATTAAGCCCAAAGCAAAAGAAAGGCGAATCCCCGGGAGGCGAATACGTCAAAACATCGTAGGCATCTTTCGTTGGTATAACATGTCACAAGGTGTCCAAAAGTCAATCTCAGTCCCTCTCGATCGATGTGGTTTTGGTGGGTAGAATCTAATGCCGATCCCTTTGTAACTTTTGTTTCCAATATGGCGACCAGTGCAGCTCAAACACGTGTGAAAGAAGAAGTTGAGAAGTCGATCGAAAAACTCGAAAGAGATCAGCTAAGAGGACTCCAGGTCAGTAAGAATCTTCTGGATCATAAATCCTTTAAACTTAAGATTTACATTCAACGTTTTTTGTGATCTGAATGCTAATGGGTCACATACCGATACTTGGGACACTGTGTCTGTATGATTTGTGAACGTAAATAGATTTTTATAATATACTTGGTGATATATCAAATTTGTTGCTTCCAAAACCGGAGGCTTAAATGGCCTAAGGTCAGCAAAAAAAAGGCGAGGAATTTGCATGAATAAAAGAAGGCTTTAACTAAAATGATTAAAATACTATTAGATCAAAAGAAAGAAAAGACAGTCAGAAAACTCACGACTGAAATACAATACTTAACTACTAGTTTACAATACTTAAACAACTAATTGTTATGACTATTAAATTTACTAACTTTTGATAATATATTCCCATAAACCACACAAACAAAATACACCCAGTGTAGTCCCTCAAGGTATACAAAATTGGTCACAGGAGACTTGAGTAAACTATCAACAAGTTTAATTTTTTGGGCGTGGCTCAAATAGAGTAATCGAAACGGCTTGTTTTGACGTAAAAGTGCAATAGGCATGCAATATGCGCCAACGTAAACAAGGCAAGTAAACAAGCAAAGCGAGGCAAATGTCTGCCGTACAAACGTCATTCAACACCACATATTCTCCTTCATCATTTTCGTAAAGTATACCAAAATCAGTGTTCTCCCCAGGTATTTAAGGCTAGGCGGGCCACTTGGCTTAATTCACTGGAAAATCGTTGGCGCCTGGCTTAAAACCAAAGATTTATCCAGTTACATGTGCTTATGTTGACATCTAGAACTAGGTACTTCACTCAATAACGTCAATGAAACATTGTCCGTGGTGTTTTTGCTTGTGTGTTTTCTCATAATTAACTGATTGTAAAAGTGATTTACCATTGGATGAATATGTTTAACCTGTGATACACTCGTTTCACTGAATGGCAGCCATCTTGAAATTGACCGACAGATAAGGGCCCTTCAGGGAGCTTACGTGGAGTAAGAACTGAAATTCTAGGGCTCACATTTCAAGTAGTACCCTAAGTCACAATGGAAAACTTAGACAGGCAACCCAAGATGCGTGGAACAAAAAAGAAAAGCTTGTCAAAGCAAATTGATTTTTTTTATTGTACAAGCATTTATCAAATATCTGAGTCAGAAGACCCCCTGGCCTTCCCAAAATCCTAGCAGGGCTCGAAATTGCGACTCACTGGTCGCCAATGCGACCAAAAATTGAGCACTGGCGACTAAATTTTCAGAACTGGTCGCCAGCTGGCGACTCGCGTTTTGTCCGATGACTAAAGAAAACCACGACACAACTTTTGTTTTTAAATCTTTATATTTGGAAATCAATCGGATATGGTAGCTAGTATACAACTCACCTTTCCGTCCCCAGTAAAATAATGTCTGAATATTACAAGATAATCGACACGTCGATACTGCGTTCAGGGCGCGCCATATTGTTTCAGCGGCTTCTTCCGAAACTGGGATCGCAGGCGCACTTCAACAACAAAAATGGTGGCAGATACGGTGTCTCCGTAACTCCCGCAACATTTTAGGTTTTATTTTCCTAAAACGTTCTGTCTAAAAGGAAACGAAGACCCAAAAACTGCACTAAGCCCATTTTTGTTTCCTCCCGGTCGGAGACTGGTACGAGCAATGTGGTTGCGTAGAGGCCTGGGCCAAGCATGGCGTTGTTTGTCGGCAGCGAAAGGCGTTGAGGAAAGCAAGTCGAAAATAAAGAACGGCATTTCGTAGAAGTAGCAAAGGGCAAATACACAAGGACCCGTGTTTGTCTCAGAATGAAAACCACGGACTTAAAACGTTTTATGCTTCGCTTCATTTAAAATGACTATGGAGACAACCATCACCTTCGGACCAGAGACATATCACCTGAGAACAACGGTAGCTTTATAACTAAGTGTTACTCGTGTTGTTTCTAATTGTTTTCGCTCTTCAGTTGTGACTTTTCTTGCATGCAAAGTAACGTATAAAATCGTGTTCTTGTGTAAGTTATATATAAAATAAGTTGGCGACCAAAATTTACGATCTGGCGACCAAAATTTTTCCGTTAGTCGCCAGCTGGCTCCCGAACAAAAAAGTTAATTTCGAGCCCTGCCTAGGGGGAACACTGAAAATCCATAAAACGTGTCTACGGAATCTCACGCAAAATGTAGTTTTTTTAAATCCTCAACACTCCCAGGCGGATCCTCAAAAAGAACCCTTCTAGTATTGCCAATTGACCACTCCAGAAAATATGGTAACTTTAACATACCATAATGGTCTTTGTTTGTCACCCCAAATTTTGCATAAACATTGTTTTCAGTTTCTCTTGGGACCATTTTAACTCCCAAGAGCAACTGAAGACAATGCTTATGCAACATTTTGGAGTGACAAACAAAGAGCATGATGGTATGTTATGGTATTTCTGGAGTGGTCAATTTGAACTTGAATTTACATCACCATATTGACACATGCAAACTTTAAAAATAGAATACTCTCCCACGAAAAACCTGAAAACAACCTTAGACAGCACATGATCAAAACACGTTCATACGGTGCCAAAAAGTGGTCAATTTCACGACAGAGTAACCATTAATGTTTCATTGGCCAAAACTGACAGGTTGAATTGTGAAACTACGCGCAGAATTTGTCGCACTTCAAGGATGGTAGTAATCCAATGATATCATTTGTTGCAAAATTTTTCAAAGCAGCAGTAAGAAGCAGTTTGGATAAAATTTGGCGATGGTGTTTCGAGGAACATATTGTTGAAGTACGTTATCGAGGGTTAAACTTACAAACGCACACACTATTCGCGGGAGGCCCACACTAAAATAACACTGAGTGTTTTCATGATGGGCTGGTCCACGAACTCAAAGAAAAACAAAGGAAATTGTTAAGACATTCAAAGACCATGGACCTCATAGATGCAATAACAAATCAGAATGTCAGGAGTGTACTTGTAAAATCGATAAGAGTTTGAACAGAAGAATGTGTATCAAGTCTGAGAGTCACAAGATTTGTGTAGCTGGTAATCAGTGTGACAATAGTGATTTTGATTTTCACAATGCGAAACACAAGGAGCTGCCTGTGATAAAAGTCTCTTCCGATGAAGGAAGAGAAGATTGTCAACAATTGAAACCAAAAGGGACCCAGGCTTCTTTGGGAACTACTGTGATAGCAGTAACAATTATTCTTCTTATTCTTTCAATTTTGTTTAGCAGAGTGACTGTTAATGTACTTGTTTTGTATTGTGCGTTGTGTTTTTCATGTAATTGTGTATCTTGTGACGCGGTACATGTACGATGCGCGGCATCGGGATTTTGCATTATCAGCAAGTTTTGTGTCAAGAGTGTTTTGATGTCAGTGAGGTGACGACAAGAGAAGGCATTGAGTCAATTGTACAGAAGGAAAATTGTTTTGTGGAGGAAATAAAAGAAGTTGAATTGAGATCTCGTCGTGGAAAATTTATTTATAACAGAACTTGCAATTATCCAGTTGGTTTAAATAAGGTTAGTCATTTTTCATGACATGGTGTGCACCTAGCAGACTACTGATGAAGAAATTAAAATCTTTGTTAAAGAAAACACGGAAAGTGAGACTTCTTGTGTGGAAGGGAATTCTGAAAAATACACCATTGTCGTCTAAAATTCATTGTTACGTCAAAATTAAAATAGAAATGGTTTATACTTAAACTGGTACACAAGAAGATCGTCTGCAGCTCTGATCATGATCTGCCTTCTTTGTAATCGCTGAATCTTTTTTTGCCTTTTTATTGTCTAAATCTTTCTTCTGTGGTTCTGATCTGCCTTCTCTGAATCCTACTATCCGACCCGCCATATTTAATCCCAATTGTTTGTAACAGCCAATCAGAGAACTCCTTGTAAAAAGCTGCATGTTATCTGTTAGGTGGGGTGAGGTATCAAAATAGGGTTTTAAGTAAGTATTTGTCCCTTTGTACATGCAACTATCCATTTTATAGTGCTTACAAGAGTTTGATTCACCAGGTTAATTTTGGCCAATTTAAGCTTTCTACTGATATCGAGAAGAATCCAGGACCTTCAGTTTATGTAGATGCTACAAAAACGATTCATGTTCCATACTTTCAAGGAAACGTTGTTGTATTTGGGGAAAATGCGGGACAACAATTTGTTGTAATGAGTTTTTATGCTTTAATTTATAGTAAGATAAGAAGGATTACTTCAGTCGATGATATGATTCAGTTAATGACTGTTGGTAACCTTTATTATATTCTAGTCTGTCATTACTTGCAAGACAATCTCTGGTAATGTTAACAGAATTGCCAGAAATGGTTACAGTGTTTGAGCGATTTTTCCAGCTTGAATACAGTGAAAGTTATACTTGTAACATGCATGATGATGCCAGAATTAAGGGGTATCACTACTGTGTGCCACTTGAAACACCGTTGGCTCTGAACTACAACTCGTTCATTTTAACTGTGGGAATTATTGGTGTTGATTCTCATGCTAGAGATATGTATAGTAACAGTCATAGTTAAGGTTTATGTGTATAATTTGTTGGAAATAACATCCATGCGTAAATTACCGGTAGCAGTGTAAGCAATTAATGGTGTCCTTAGTTGCAATCAATGTGGCTAAGAGCAAATCTGTGTTGAAGATGTGCATTTCAAAACATTGTCATGAAGTGACAGCATTTATGCGGTGGATTGGAACATACTGTATAAGCTGTGTAGTTCAGCAAAGAAGTAGAGTAAGGGATTTATCTTTTCTTTTGGGATACGATGACAGTTAGGTGAAAGACTTGTTAAAAGTATCAAAAGCATACAGTCATTAGTTGAAGAAATTTGTAAAATTAGACAGAGTAAGTTAAATTGTCAAAGACTACAATATGAAATACACTTTATATTATGCTCATGCAAAATTGAAAGCAGTGAAAGGAAAAAGATTGCGAGGAAACACAGGTACAGTTCATTTGAATATTGTGAGGTGGAACTGCTTAAAAAGAAACGTTTAGTTACAAGGAGAAAAGAAAATAGACAGATCGGGGCATAGATTTTTGCATTGAACAGTATGAAAATAAAATAAGAAAAGGTCCCTTTCATATCCCGTATTTATTCAATTAACCGCCCTGGGTGCATATTAAATTTTTGGACCTTGAGAGTGGGCGCTTATTCGATGTGGGCACTTATTCGAGGCTGGGCTTTTATTAAATTTCCACCATTTTCAGCAAGTGTAGTATGTTTATTGTGTACCAAATCAAAAAAAGGTAATAAAACGCGAAGATGTAACAAAGCAAGTTCTGTAAAATACTCTGAAGAAAATTCCGTCTTTGGGGAAGTCTCCTATTAGTACTTATTCATTTTTGTCAGGTGGTAGGGGGAAGCGGGGTAGGTTTTGGTTGTGGGCACTTACTTGAGTTTGAGTGGAAGGGGGAGGGGGTGGGCGCTTATTCGAGGCTGGGTGCTTATTAACTTTTTTTTCCTTTAAGATGGGCGTTTATCCAAAGTTGGGCGCTTATTCGAATAAATACGGTATGTTGTCTTTGTAATCAATAACTTTATAAGAGATTAGTGCACATTTTTGGCAAAAGTAAAGATTCGTGTCAAAATTTGTTAAGTGTGCAGTCTTCATTTGATGGAAAACAGTATGTTTGTAAAACATGTCACTTAATACATACATATTTTTCTATCAACACCTCAGGGCTCGAAATTAACTTTTTTGTTCGGGAGCCAGCTGGCGACTAACGGAAAAATTTTGGTCGCCAGATCGTAAATTTTGGTCGCCAACTTATTTTATATATAACTTACACAAGAACACGATTTTATACGTTACTTTGCATGCAAGAAAAGTCACAACTGAAGAGCGAAAACAATTAGAAACAACACGAGTAACACTTAGTTATAAAGCTACCGTTGTTCTCAGGTGATATGTCTCTGGTCCGAAGGTGATGGTTGTCTCCATAGTCATTTTAAATGAAGCGAAGCATAAAACGTTTTAAGTCCGTGGTTTTCATTCTGAGACAAACACGGGTCCTTGTGTATTTGCCCTTTGCTACTTCTACGAAATGCCGTTCTTTATTTTCGACTTGCTTTCCTCAACGCCTTTCGCTGCCGACAAACAACGCCATGCTTGGCCCAGGCCTCTACGCAACCACATTGCTCGTACCAGTCTCCGACCGGGAGGAAACAAAAATGGGCTTAGTGCAGTTTTGGGTCTTCGTTTCCTTTTAGACAGAACGTTTTAGGAAAATAAAACCTAAAATGTTGCGGGAGTTACGGAGACACCGTATCTGCCACCATTTTTGTTGTTGAAGTGCGCCTGCGATCCCAGTTTCGGAAGAAGCCGCTGAAACAATATGGCGCGCCCTGAACGCAGTATCGACGTGTCGATTATCTTGTAATATTCAGACATTATTTTACTGGGGACGGAAAGGTGAGTTGTATACTAGCTACCATATCCGATTGATTTCCAAATATAAAGATTTAAAAACAAAAGTTGTGTCGTGGTTTTCTTTAGTCATCGGACAAAACGCGAGTCGCCAGCTGGCGACCAGTTCTGAAAATTTAGTCGCCAGTGCTCAATTTTTGGTCGCATTGGCGACCAGTGAGTCGCAATTTCGAGCCCTGCACCTCAGGGCCACTTTTAACAGATTTTGACTCTATTACCAACATCCAATAAAAACAACCCCATGTAGAAACCCAGCAACTACCTCACAAACTACATCCATTATCTTAGCTATCAACTTCCAATATAACTTCACGCCTACTACTTCACTCATCTCAACTAACCCCTCAAATATACAAGACCACTGCACTACCCACATATCCCTCATACACGTAATAAACTTCACATACACTTAATTAGTACAACTAAGCCTAAATAAACGCTCCCACAGGGTCTTGTTAAGTTTAAGCTTGATTAATCTAACGAGTAATTATCAAATACTAATTATGACTACTAAATCTACAAACACTCGAAAATATATTCCTATAAACCATACAAAACAAGGAAATACATCTAGTACAGTCCCACAAGGTAAACAAAATTGGTGACAAGAGATTAGGTTAAACTATAAACTTAACGGATATAAATTCTATAGCTCTTCATCAATTTATGCATAGGCTAAATTAAGTACTCAAAATGTGCAGTCAGGCTTAACTTTTTTTTAAAGTTACTATGTTATGCACTAGTCAATTGCAATTGACCCCCAAACCCCCCGGGGAATAATGGGAAAATTTACAGCTGTACCTTTGTAATTTGAAGGATTTACCCCAGGCCCTAGGGAAAGATTCACATGACAATTACCCCTAACTAGTAAGCTGTCTGTCAACAAACCGCTATTCAAGTTTAACAAATGACTCACTTTAACTGATCAAATATTTGAATTGAGTTATGCATCATATCTCTCCTCCACACAATAACAAAAAAAAAGCCAGATATAAACTGAAAAACTTTTAGATACTAATCAAAATGCGTTCATCAATGTATGACAGAGATTCATGTAATGGTCTACAAATCATAGGTTGAAAAAGTTAGCTTTATGTGTAGTGTATTAAATGTTCAAAATTAATTTTCCCAGCTTCATATGCCTTTTTGGACAAACACATGACAGCAATAGAGAAACTTTGTGTTCATGGGTCTGTGTGTTTGTATTTTATTTAAATTTGTTGCATCATGTAGTAATGCTAGGACTGAAACAGCCATATCATAAAAAGCATAGCCCAGAGAAGGTTGGGTAGCAGTTGGCAAAGGATCATGGGGCGATTTATTGAGGAGCTCAGTACAGCTGGACGGATCTCCATGATCCACATCTTCTCGCCAAGTTTAGCCATAATTATGTTAAAATTCAGAATACTTTTGAATAAGACAATTTTATCCTATCCAAATTGTTAATTTTTCACGAGGGAGTGGCTGAATTAGCTTTCAAACTCTGCTAGTTTGCTTTGAAAGTTAGCCAGGTCACAGCCTTCATGAAAGCTTGACGTCATTGATCATGGTCAACAGACTCCCCACCCTGGGGATAGATGTGTGTAGCTGTAAATTTTTGGTAATTTCCCAGAGGGTAGTGCAAGAAATGAATGTAATATCAATGTATTTGTCCCATTATTGCTCCTCAAAATCCCCACTATCTGTGGGGGTTTGGGGGGTTGAGGATGCAATTGACTAGCGCATTAGCAATTAGTAGCTATACGTGAAAGGTCTGAACGGACACCGGTACTACTGTCTTTCATATTACTGAAATGTTGTTCAGATTTCTTTTTAGAAATGATCTGCTTAATAACTGACCAAGTCTTCCTCAGGTCAGGTCATGAAAATATTTTTTCCTGGCAACTCTAATAAGAAAATTGTACCTATTTTGATACTTGTTATATCTAGATTTGTTGGATTCAGTAGGGTTTGTTTTGAGAATTCTTCCTGTTACAGGATACAAAGAGACCTTTTGAAAACCAGGGTTTAGAAGAATGCTGAGGTTCAGTGTATACAAGTTTAAGTGGAAATGACTTATGATATAATTTTCTGTAATAAGTAAGACTAGAGAATGTGCTGTAGGAATCATCGGTAGAGTCAGAGTTATAGATAGGGACCAATCAGTGGTTTGCAATCTAGACCTAAATGCTGTAAGTTTTGCAGAGTCAATGAGGTGTGCCAATCTCTTTTGGCAAAGTGATTCAGCATCCAATTTTAGATGAGTGACTTGGAAAATTGTGCCTTTGTGTTGCCCATTTAGAGATTTTCAAGGAGAATTCAATCAAGTTCTTCAAAAAAATACTAAGCGATGGTCAGAGTAAACAATAAATTGCCATCTTGGTCCACTGATCGCTGACCTCTGACCTAACTGTAATTTAATTCCATAAACAAGATGTATTGTAATTGATCTTACTAGGATAAAGTTAAACTCTTTTTATATTTTAAGAGAACATAGGTGCCCGCAGGGCTCAAAATAACGGACAGCAGGTCACCGGTCATGATGACCGGCCAAATATTTTTTAGCCCGGACAAACCCCGATTTTGGCCGGTCAAATAATGAATACTATAATTTTTTTTTTGCCTATAGAATATCAAATTGCGCTGGCAATAGATCGTTGTACTGCACTGACGTTCATGTTTTTGGCGGCAAGTTGGTGAAAAATTCATCCACACGTTTTTGAGTTCCTTTTTTATGTGCGTTTATATCCCGGGGAGGGTACTCCCATACATTACCTATACGGGTATGTGCAGCCCAAAGGGGTCGTGATTTTGAAGCTCCTGATTTAGAACGGGGTATCCATTTCAGAAGCGTTTTCTAGAAAGGGGTATAATATTTTGAACGCACAAAAGCTCCACTTTTGTAAGCAGCCATTTGAAATTATTCAAGGACAGATTGCTTTAAAAAATACGGTTCAATGCGTTAACAAGCAAACTGTTGTACTCTTCAGTTGCACCCTAGAACAGAGTATAAAAAATTGGCCCATTTCTAGAACGGGGTATCAGTTTTAGGGCGAATTCTAGAACGGGGTATAAGAAATTGGCCCATTTCTAGAACGGGGTATCAATTTTAGGGGAATTTGTTTTTAGAACGGGGTGCTAATTTGGAGTCCCGGGCGGCACATACCCACACAAAAAATACCCAAGTGCCCCCGGGGTTTATATATACCTTGAGTATCATCGTATGGTGGTGTCTGAAGTCTCCAAGGTTGGTCCTATATCTGCATATCAGTTACACTTGATCTTTTTTGTCGCCTGGCACGTGATCGAAAGTCTCCTCCACAAAGATGAAACGTTGCTAATTATTTCTGGCAAAGAAGTTAGTCAATAAATATACAGCAGAGCTCTTGTTTAGGTCGTCACGCAACACTTTATTGCGAAGGGCCCATTAACGTTATCAGAAATTTGCTTAAAGCTGTTTACAAGAAGGAGGATTTTAAGCACCGAGATAGGCGACATTCGTTCTTGATTAGCTTAGTTTTTATCAGACAATTCTGGAATCGAGTCCGCAAACGAGATTCATGTTTGACATAAAGAAATTATAATTAATCGATGCACTGAAATTTATTCCCGGAGAAACAGTACAGGACGAGCGATCGATTTACCCAAATTCCATCAAAGGTGATTTTCACAATCCTCTTACAAGTAGATTTGAAATGTTTAATGGACAAAAACCGTTAGCTTTTCTTTAGTTTTCTAACAAATAACAGATTATCGTTAGTGCATGTTTTCCCAAAGAAGGTCACATTTAAATACTAATCACAGCAAAGCAGAACGTACAGTACGACTTGCTGCATTGTTGCGTTACTCCACAACTCAGTTTGTTGTTGTTTCGCTTTGTTGCGTTTCATTAAGACATGACGACATGAAATTTATTGCGGCATTCTTTTTGTTTAAAGGGTTTAGTGCAAAGCAGCAAAAAAAGCCAATGAAAAAAGAAATCATTACAGCGTTATAGAGCAAAACGCGTTAAGCGACAACTATATGGAAAATATTATAAAATGTTCCCATACAAAAATGGCCGGCCAAAATGACCGGCAAGACGAGAGTTTGACCGGTCAAGTCCACGATCAGGCCGGACATTGTCTGTTGACCGGCTGTTTTTTTTAACCCTGGGTGGTGGACAAAACACTGACTCAATCCCCAGTCCATTGACTAAAAATGGGCCATGCTGCTGAAGTTTAGTGATTGGGGTTAGGAAAGTGAGTGAATCAGACCTGTTCCATTTAGGGTCATTATAGCGGAGCACCATGGGTAATAAAATTTGGTAAACTATCCATCCAAGGAAATTTGGTTGTGACGTCACTGTATGTCTGTCCGTATGTCCGTATGGACTTTCCGGATAGGGGTAAGTAGAAACAAATTCCTCCCCTCTCTCCTAGAGAGTTTTGTGCCCAATTGTTTCAAAAGCCTTTAGAAATGATGACAAATCAGAATCTGTCAACTGACCAAATGTTTGGTGGATTTTAAGGGCCGACCATTTGACTTTTGAGGGGGTTATGGGTGATTTCAGAAAAAATGTCTCGCAGACTGATTTTGAGAGGTGGGTTTGAGCACGCTGAAGTGTGAAATTACATCAAAAAATGCAAAAATGAAGTTAAATCAAGCCACCAGATGCTAGTTAAGGTCATTTGGCCAAATTAACGATTTATTTCTTCAATCGATCTTCAATGTATATGTAAACAATCGAGGATTGTGGCAGTTTAGGTTTCACGGAGTGCACGTCAATCATGATTCACAATTCATCGACACTAAAAATAGTCAATCACAGAACAACGAAAATAAGCTTGCCCCCCCCCCCTCCAGTTTTGTATAAATAGTCTCGTCAAAATCTGTAATAGTCACTTAAGATCACTTCTGAAAATGTATGTTGACTAGCTTACAAAACGTCAGGTTCACCTGAAAATACAAAAGTTCACTATGTTTATCACCGCTGTTCATTTTTTATTTTTGACTAATCACTAAACTTTAGCGGCGTAGTCCATTTTAGAGTAGTCCATGGATAGTCCATGATGATAGTCCATGGACTGTGGTCAGTGGTTTGTCCACCACCACAAGCATGTCAGTCTGTTATTCCAATGAGAATAACAGTATCAGGGATAGAAGAATTTACTACTAATTTACTATAAACTAACTACTGCTTTGCTATTTTTAAATTATATAGGCCAAGTCACACTTGTGTGCTGCCAAGTGCTGTGAGAATCAATCTGCCAGTAAAGATGAGGTTCAACAGTGCATGAATCAGTGTTTTGCACCAATTCAACAAATACAGGAGTACATTGGAAAAGAACTAAATGGATTTCAGGTTAGCTATTTATTATGTTGGGTTACAGTGAGAACTTTTTGTATCATATATATTTGTCTTAATTTGTTTTTGATTTTGTCTTGTTTTCATTTAGCCTGTTCCAGGCATTCAGATAGTTGAGAATAGCACGAAGTAAAAAGGGATGTGAAAAAATGAAAAAACAAGGAAGGGTGTGAGAGAAGAGTCCAGAGAGAGTCTCAATCCCTCTTACTTTATTTACTTCCTGTCCAGTTCCAACTATGTGAAAGCCTGGAAAATGCTTATTGTCATTTAACAAAATGCTACATGCCACTAACTATATTGTGACATACATGTATGAGCATTCTTCAGGATTGAAAATGTAACTGAACTTCCCAAGCTACAACCCAAAATAACAGCTATCTGCTACTTTAGAAATAAGAAGGGAACTGAAGTGGAAATGCGTCCTGCAGTTGTTTTTGTGATCATTGCTGCAGACGCGCTAGTCAGCTATTGGTCATTGTTTTTCCTGTCCCTAGAGACCAGAAGCCATTCCAACGGCCCAATTCCCTTCTCATTTGTAAAGTGGTGAATAGAGTTGGTCACTCCAAGATGTTCAGACTATAGTCCTGTGTCTAGGAAAACTGGTGGCTGCTTCCCTGAGGCAGTCACATATGCAGGGCCTGAAAAAAGTCCCATCTGGTTGTCTGGGACAAGCAGATTTTCTTGTTGAGCAAGTAAAATTTTTAACCTCCCTTGTCCAATGTGTAAAGGTGGGTTCAGGCAAGTCATCTGGTATAATAATCATCAGCTAAGACAAGCAAGTACCGGCCCTGGGCTGGCAATCAAAAATATGTGAGAGCTGCTTGTCCTAAGGACAAGCTGCAATTTAAGCTTTTTTGAAGCCCTGATATGGACATTTGAAGTTGAATATTAATCCTTATTAGTATGGATCTAGGCACAAAGGGATTCTAGCTAGGGTTACTGTTCGGGATCAGGCAGAAATCGTAAGCTGTGTTTAGCTAAGAACACATGTAAGTCAATAGGACTAAATACAGCCAATAGAACTGTATATCTGCAGTAAAACTACTAGGTTTTGCTCAATAAACTGTCTAGCAAAATCATGGCATGCAACGATATTTAAGCTAGGTTTTCAGTGCTTACTTCACATAGTATTTTTAACAGCGAGCAGTGCACATTGCAATTAGTCTTACATAAGTTTTATTTAGCTTGTACATGTTTAGAATTTTGCCTTTAAGTATTAATATGAAACTGTTTCTTACTCTACTTGTAGGATCGCCTGGGTCGCTGTGCCCAACAATGTCAAGACAAGATTCAAGACAATGTGGACCCAACTACTACACAATCAGAGCTCACAAAATATCAGGCTGAACTGAACAAATGTGTGGATCAATGTTGCATATCTCACTCAGAACTTGTACCAAAAATGTTTGAGAGAATGAAGAAGGTTTTATCACAAGTACAGGATGCTGGGCCCAGATAGTATTTGCTTTAATGAGACAGGACATAAGGATTTTTTTAAGATCTTTAAATGAAAAATTATTTTGTGATAATACGCCCAATGTTGAGAACAGAAATAACCACTACCTTCAAATTCGGAAACCAGGAATTGTTTATTACTGTCTATGATAGTAGTGACTGAGATTGCTTTTCATCCGTCAATGTAGTCTAGCCAGGTTAAATTCCCAGACTCAGTGTTTGAGCTCTTACCTTGAAATTGCATTTTTGTTTGTTTGTTTGTCTTTTTTTACATTTTCAGCCCTCAGTGGTTGTCTGTGTTTGCTTTTTTTGTACAAATTTTGTTGTCAGTTTTTATCAACACAATTTTTTTTGTGGGTGTGTTTTTTTGTGTGTGCCGTCTTTGACTGTTGAAGGCTTTTTATTTTGTCACATTTCACTGATTTTCGTCGGAGTTTGGCAGGTTTTGTCTTTTGCCTTTTTTCAGTTTTGTGGTATTTAATGGACCAAAATTTCCTGTCTATTACTTTGCATTTTTTTTGTTGGTCCGTCTCCTTTTCCCACCAGCTCCAACTAGCTGAACATTGGATCCCAGGGTCTTCTCATTTTCCATTATCGTGGCGGCAGTAAAACGAGATCACCTTGGTGACGATGTTGCGTAACATTTTCACTCCCACAGTTGTCCAGAGTTAATTATGGGAAAATTTTACATGTAGGTGCAGATAACTACTTGAAAGAGTATTTTTGCTCACTCTGAGTACAATAGCCTGCCAAAACAGCCGTTTCTCCTCGCACCTTACCGCCGAGGACGCGGCGAGGAGCGAGGAAAAACGGCTGTTTTGGCAGGCTGTTATTACAAATAATTTTAAACTAATGTCCCTTCTTCGAGAGGTTTAAATAGAAGCTCAGGTATTTGGTCTTTCACTTTTTCGTGATCAGAAACGGTGTCCAGGAACTCAAATTTGACGCCTCCACAGGTAACTTCCTTAATCGGCCCCTTCCCATATCGTACCGGGAGATCTCCAGAGACCACAGAGATTGAATAAATGACATCCCTTTCGAGTTTGACCCCTTTTGTAAAAAAGATATCGTGAATTTCGCTCTCACTACCACGATTCGTAAGATCCGCGCTGTGCGACATCAACAGAGAACCACTTTTGTCACGTAACTCAATTTGGAACAGCTGAGACGTGTTGGTGAAAGTTGTAAAAAGCGCTACTCCGGTGATTCTAATGGATCTGTTGACCTTAAATTTGACGGTGGATTGTTGAGCTAGAGCCTCTGTTGACAACTTTGGGCGTAGAGCGCTAGATTCAAACCGCGAGCAGCGAAGGGCTGGCCCTTGGAGCTGGTGATTGGCAGGTTTGACACGTGGCTCTGTTGGGAACTTTACGTTGCACGATTCAAAGCTGGAATCAGTGGATTGTTCAGCTAGAGCCTCTGCTAACAACTTTGGGCGTAGAACGTTAGATTCAAATCGTGAGCAGCGAAGGGCTGGCTCTTCAAACAGGTCATGGACAGGTTTGGCGCGTGGCTCTGTTGGGAACTTTACTTTGCACGATTCAAAGCTAGAGTTAAAACCGATGTACATATTAGCTACTTCTTCGTGGCTCAAGAAAGACGATTGCGCCACTTCGTCAGTGAATTCTTTCATACTCATCAAGGGGAAACGAATGGAGTAGAAAGCATCTCCAAGGACCTTGCGTTTATTCTCAACTGTCAGTGGAATTGACAGGCGCTGACACTCGTGTCCCGCCCACTTTACAGCCGCACGAAAAAGTACCATCTCCTTAGCAACCAGTGTGTCACGTGATAAAAGGGCGGTCAGCGTGCCATGGTCAATATCAAGAAATTGATTATCCTCGGCCACTTCAGAGGCGTGTTTATCAATAATTGACCAACATTGTTTCTCGAGGCCTTTGCTGACACCAAGAAGAAAACAGTGATCCAACACTGGCAGGGTATTCTCCACGGTTAAGTTGTTCCCAACAAATTCAGTGCAGATTTTAGCCAGGCTTGGAATGAGGTATTTTTGCGCCAGGAACAGCACTTCTGGGACGTTACGTGTGGTCAGCTGAACTTCATCGTAATACATGTACCGGAGCATTTCTAAAAAGGCGTCGGGTTCACACTCGGAAACTTCAATCTACAAAGAGAGACGATTTAGTCTTGAGATCTCAAACAAAAGGTGCATGTCTTTGATGTCTTGCATGATGGGTTTGAAACCATGAGAAGGACTCTAATTTTTCTAATTTCAAGGTCCTAACTTTATCTCCTGATCTTTCTCATTTATTCACTAATCAGAAACTAGCAAATCTCTCTGAATTTTTTCGGCGGTCCTGGTTAGGCTAGTTTCATGGTAATAAACTAGCAAAACACAACTCAGTAACATTTAAGGGGCGTCCACGGCGGGCGAGAAGAAGTAAAACGTTGGGGGTCAATTTTAGACCCTGTTTACATGGATTGGGGGACTTCGGTCTAGTGGGGTAAGTTTCTTTTGTTTTGTGTCCCCTAGAGCGTGAAAACAAAAGAAACTTACCCCACTAGACCGGGGTTCCCCGCTCCATGTAAACAGGCCCTTAGTGCAACATATGTCGTGCAATTGAAGCCAATTTAGAATACTCGCCATGTTTTGAACTGAAAGGTTGCTTGATTTTTATTATTATTACTTTTTTATGAACAATTCCGTATCCACTTTAAGCGCCTCGTACAAAACCGTTTTCAGATTAAACAACAGCAGGAGCCCATCAAATTTGATGGGCTCCTGACAACAGACACTGTACTGTTCTGTACGGCTGAACAGCTTTATTTACAAAGCAACCTTATAATGTAGGTCCTCATTTAATGATTTTTTTTTTCATCGCTCTTTACCTGTTCTCTTGTTTGTTCCAGCTGAGGTGCTCCGAACGCGTAGAAAAGCGACGAGAACACTGGACTGCTGATAGCAAGAATATAGCGATGTGCGGGTATGGACGTCTTGTCAGCTCTTCCCACAAGGAATCGTACATCGCTAAACAGTTCGCGATTAAACATGTATTTGTTTCTATCTAGAAGTGAACTGTGATTGATCTGCCACTGGTCATCCTCTCCTGTGTATCGCAGGCTTGCACGAAGAGCAAGTTTTCTCCCATATGAATTGTTCCTCCAATCCAGTGAACACTCAAGCGAACAATCTAGTTTGGAAGTAGGCCTCAAATCCAGTTTATCCAAGTTGTTGGGCTGAAGATGCGAGGCAACAGATATTTCACCCATCTATTAAAAATAAAGCTAAACCCATTACTAAAATGGTTCCGAAAAGTGATTTGACGAAACCCTTTCTGTTTAACGGCTCTGTAGTTTTTAGTCCATAAGCTAGCTAATAATCACGGCCTGCTTCAGACTTCAAATTAACTGAAATTGGTCATTCATGAGTTCGTTTGCCCTAAACATTCAGCAAGTGGTGTTCGATGTCTTTAAAATGGGCTCATAAATAAGAATCTAAATTCCAGTTTGATCGGGATCAGTGATGCCGATAGAGGAAAAGTCACAGTGTAGAAGACATACTCTATTTTTGTTTGTTTATTTCTACTTTCTACAAAATCTGCGCAATCTTTCTTGAAAACATTTGGCCCGAGTAGAGCTTTTCGGGGACAAATTTGCCCGACATTTCATGAACAAAACGCAGCCCAGATTTCAGAATGGCAAGAAACACTCGTCACTGAAAATTGGGAGGTCAATTAGGCGCTTTCGACATAAGGCTTGTTTTGTTAAGTGATCGTAGGGGGCAATTTTAATTACCATCATCCAGTGGGAGTATAAATTTCAAGTATATTTCTGAAAAAAATCATTTTCGACCACCTGTTATTATTTTTTGTGAATATTTACAGTATTGTTTCAAACGCTGTTTTTCGGTCTTTTCGTTTGAGGACCGAACTGGCGCTCTTTGACGATTTTTCTGGCCACGATTGTAAATGCTGAAAAATAATTTTTCTGACGTTGTCAAATCGTTCAGTCCACAGTAATTATTTCTCCTATGCAACGTTTTTAGTAAGTCGCACTGAAGTCAGAGTATATATAAGCCTGATCTATAAGCCGTTTATTTTTGGGTTTATGTTTAAGACCTGAGGAAACTTTCAACCTGCTAAAAATGTACCAACAGGGTCTCAAAACAATAAGAACTGAATACTAAGACCGAAGTTAAAACGTTTACCTAGTTGTAAACCCTGTTATGAGCACTGTTGGTTTTTGTGGAAAGAACGCTCTTTACACCAATTGTGTCGACTATACATCCTAAGTAATGTGTAATATCTCTCACTGATTTGAAAAAAAAATAATGATAGCTGGGATAAAACAAGGCGGTTGACTAAATCTATGAATAAGAACCTAATTTACCTGCAGACTTTGATTTTCACGTCCAGAGGTATTGGTCTTGTTGTAAGAAGAATGCTTTTGGTAGATGTGCTAACGATCATCAGTGGCATCACTGGGTAAAAAAAAACATCCATTGCGACTCATAATCTAAACTAGAGTATAATAAGGAAACGTTATTTCTTAAAAAATCAAACAAGCAAAACCGAACCAATCCGAACTCGGTTTTCCATTGTATAATTAGCGTCTTCTATTTACCGCAGCAATAAGAAAATAAAGGTCTGTTAATTGCAACCCACTTTAGATCACAAGTAGTTATTTTGCTATCAGCTAACTCTAAAAAAGAAAGAAGCGACCGAAGTGAAATCCTCTCCTGCGCCGCCCGCGAGATTTTGTCTCTGAGTCGCCTTGAAAATCGATCGGCTTTCAGAGAGAACAGGGCCGACTAGCGAAATCTAGGATTGAAATTTTCAGTTGAGGAAAATGCAGTAGAAATAAAATCGAAAGACGTTTTTGTGTCGTCATGATTCCATTTTCAGATTCAAAATGTTCGGAATAAATGTCGCCCGATTGTTTCCGAGTTGATTGTATTTATGAGTCAGTTGAGTTATCACGAGTCAGTTTATGAGCTGAGTGCAGGGTAGGTATGCATGAGTCAGGTCAGATAGGCCAGTTACCAGTGCTGGATCCAGACCGGTCATCCAGACCCTTAGATAAGTTGTGGGGGGGGGGGGGCGGTCTCCAAAAAATATTTTTTCGGCCCTTCGGGCCTCATTCTGGTCTGAAAATAGGGGGGCGGGGACCCCGGGCCCCTCCCGTGGATCCGGCACCGGTTACGAAACACTGAAATAAAAATAAATAAATAAATAATAAATAAATGTAAGGATTAAATTAACCGCAAAAACCGTGGACGAAGATCCTGGTAGTTGTAAACGTTGGATCTCTAGAAAAGAGAACACTTTCTCTCTCACTCTAACCATTCTCATACTGACATGCAGAAAGAACCATAAGTTAATCCCACTAGAGAAAATTCATTCTTCACGTGACTCAGTTCGTAAGGCAAGGGAGGCGCATTTGATAGATAAGGCCATGACTCTTGAACCTCATGGCCTAAATCGCCGTGACCAATTATTGTAATCCATATCCTCAGTATTTTTTCCCTTTCCAGTTTTTATGTTGTATGTCATTTCCGCCTCTCCCTTTTAAACAATTTCTATTGCGACATTCTCCATCTATATATAATATTGTGATTCCTACATAAGTTCAGTAACTTCCGTAAACCTGAAGAAGCCTGGTATGGCCAGCCAAAATATTGTTATAAGAAAACAATACATGTTGTTATGAATCAGCTTTGCAGTAGTCTTTGGACTTATCGTTTTTGCTTTTTTACATATGTAAGCACACTGATTGAAATGGTTCAGTGCATTTTATTCTCTGCTTGACACATGAATCATTGTCTCATTGACACTCAGTCCTCTAGTATAACTGACTAAGGGTCTTTGAATGAAGCCAATATTTGTTAGCCTACAATCTTAGACAAAATTAAAGAGGAGGTGGAGACGTATGACATTCCAGACTATGTATACCCTCCCCACCCCCACCCACCCCCTGCTTAAAAAACATCAAGAAGAAGAATGAGAAAATGGGGCGTTTTGTCCTTCGCGCGGTATCATCCTTGGTTTAAAGGGTTGGGGTTTATTCTGTCCAAGATTAAAGTTACACCCTTATGGGCAAGAAATCGTGTCTTTGAAAAAAATATATTGGCTTATATCCTTCCACGAACTCCCGGCACAAACTACGCCTAGGGCGAGGGCGTAAAAAAGAAAGCTTGGAAATTTTATTTTTTTTGGTTAAAACTAGTGAATGCATCAGTGCTTCAACTATGATACATATTCTAGAAAGTTCGAACACTTATCGGATATGGTGAAAAAATAAAACGCTTCCTCAGCAAAACCTATCCAGGCCTCTGTCAAATCGCCACGTCTCACAGCATCTGCGCAGATGACATGTAGATGACGTCACCTTTATTTCCAAGCCAATCAGAGAGTATCTTAGGATGCTGACAACAAATATGGCGGACGTTGTCTCAAGTATACACGCTACAAAGATGCTTAGAAGGTTATTTTAGGTTGACGGGGAGGAGAAAGGAGGTTTTCTGGCTTCTGCTCAGCAAAAACAAAACCAAAAAATGCTCTTTTAGGAGGATGACCTCCCTTCATGCTTATGCAGCTTTGAAATTTGTCGCATTTATGGCGGCGTTGATTTCTGTGGAAGGGACATTGGAAAGCGAAAATTCAAGCGGTCTGTCTACTGGGAGCAGTTATTGGTAAGGGAAAACAACCCTTTACGGGAAAGTCTCCGCAAGTTTTGTTATCTTTTCTCATCGTCTCTAACTTTTTATTAGTTCGCTTGTTCTTGTGAGTACGTTGGACGGACGTGTCAGCGCGTTGGATACACGGGAAAATGGAAAACTTTTGTGGTCTTTGCCTGCCTTTCACGGTCCACTGCTGTCCTCAAGTCTCAGTTCAATTCAGGTGTGTTTTATTTATGTTATTTATTTAATACTTTAAGACCGTGAATTAGTTGTTAAAGGAGCCAATTGTTTATAGAATACAATCATCTGAACTTGTTTGTGGGCATTAATGTTTCCCAAGGGGGGATATAGCTTTGCGCCCGGATGACGTGGGAATCCCCATAAAGTTGGACTGGTAAAACTTTCTGTCATTAACAATCGGTAATGGTCAAACCTATTTTGCTGTTAGCATATTTTTTGTCGTGATCTCTACAAGATCTATAAGCAAACATGCTAACATAAGATCATATTTTAATGCTATTTTGTGCCTTGTAAATAGTAAATTATTATTATTATTATTATCTTTTGCCCAATTTGTTTGTTCAGATGGCCAAACACGTTGGTCTGATCCCATCATTAGATGGTGGACTTTACCAGGTCAATGGGGATAAAGTAGAGGTAACGTTAAATTATGCTTTGTTTCTTATTTTATTTATAGTTTAGCTTTATTCTATTTCCCCTCTTATATTTTAATGCGTTTTACACACTATTTTGCAGCCTATTCCTTTTACTGCCGACACCCTTCTGGGCTCATTCTACAAACTTCCAGATGGTTCCATCCTTGTTGGTGGCAAGGAAGCAACTACTTGTGGAATTGATCCTTCTTCTGGAAAGGTAAGACTCTTAAGTGCATTTTAGTACATTTGTTATTTACTCATGGACTGTCAATTATGCTTTAGCACATCATACTGTATACATGTACATGTACATGTATGTGCCTATTCCCGGACACTTTTTGCATTTATTTCAATAACTTACCTCAGAAAGTTGGGAGCGAGCTGATACTTTGCTATTATATAGTTCCTTCGATTTGCTAACATGTCCTAAAGACTGGATGGTTGATTGCCAAAGGTTTCTCAGTAATTTTTGAAAAAAATAGTAGAAGTTTAGTGGCCTTTTCGCAGACAGGTAGTTCCTATTCTCGGACAACTGTTCATAGATGATTAATCCTGTTCATCATGTTAGTATACGTCTCACTGAAGAAAAACGAAGTAACATTAAAAGTAAACAATCCCTTTTTCTGACTTGAAAAGCATTTTAAAGTCAGTTTTGGTGAGTCCATCCTCAAGTATTCGTTGTAGATTTAGCATGCTTATTTTAAAAACAAACAAGCACTGTTAAAATATTTTGCCATTTTGGAAATGGCGTATGTAAGTTAATCCTGACAGCTCGCTGTCAAATCAGGTAAGTTTCAGCTAGGAGAAGCTAGGAAAAATAATTTTTTCGCTCTTCTTTTATAAAACTGTTGCTGAACTTGAAAATGTGTTTGGCTTTCGTGCGGTCTGAGAATAGGCTTACCTCACAAAACTATACCAAGTTTTTCCCGTGTTCTTGCTCGAAAATGTGACACAGTTAACTCATAATTCTTAAACCTTGTTCCTTTTTGTCTGACTTTCTCCAAAAGTTAGTTATTTCTGTTGAGTATTTGGTGAGAACAGAGTGCAAACTGAAACAATGTAATTCAATGTGCGGTGAAATGCAAACTTTGACAGAAACACATTTCCGGCCTAAACCCAACGAGACTGGTCCTAAAAAGGGCTAGAGAAAGTAGATGAACCAATAACTCAATGGAGTCTATCTTAGTTTCTGGTTTTAGTTAAAGTCTAGGAGAATTACGAAACATTAATGCGTACTGTCTGAGAATAGGTGCATCCGAGATCTTTGTGGCCTTCTGTCACCTATAAACCATAACAAAAAAGCATGATATTACCACATCAACCAGTCAGAGCTCTGGGCAGATCTATATGAATGTCATCAGTATGCCAAAACACAACATTCCAACGGTAAGGAGTGATGGGAGGCAACTGTATTCACAAACTAACCTACAACACATTGTTTTAGAAGTATTTAAACAACATGTCTTTTGACTTTTGACTTGTGGCAATATGATGCTTTGACATACTGTACGTTTTGTTCTCCTACATTGTCTTAACATTTCAAATATCGAGGCCATGCTTCTCATATGTGTTTCTGCTTTTTAGGTGCGTTACGTGTGTTCTGCAGATGGCTGTAAATTGACAGAGGATGATGAACACAATGTTCAAGACAGTGAAGTTCTTGTACTTAAACGGACACAACAGACTATTAGAGCAGTTGATCAGAGATCTGGAGCTGAAAGGTACGGTAATATTATTATTTTCCTCTGTACATTAGAATATTAATATATTTTTGGTTTATAGGTGAAGGTGCCCATGGATTAGCAGACATTTCTGGCCACACTGGGCTTTACAGAAACTGTATCTTGCATTTTAACTTCTCCAAATTTCTTTTAACTTTATAGTCAAACCTCCATAAAGCAGCCAGTAACCAAAGTCCTGAACTAATTGTAGAAAAGAATGGGGAATTAAACCTCTGTTAAGCGGCCACCACCATTGAGTGGCGGTGGTCACCTTTTGCTCCTTCCAGTAACAGTTCTTTCATTGGTTTCAACTCTAATAATAATAATAATAATTAAAAATTTATAACGCGCCTTTTCCATGCAAATATGATCAAAAGGTATTAACCGGCCATCAAGTGCTTAATACACTAAAGTTTGGCTTTACTCTAAGAACATAATGAAGGCAAATATGGTCCGAGATAGAGGGTAACGATCAATTGTGGGCCAGTAATGCTGGTCCTATCTCATGTTTGTTTCAAAATAAAATAGTGTCCCTGCTAGCTACTTTGCTAATTTATGACAAACCTCTATTGAGCGGCCATCCTTCATTACAGTAGCCCCTTGCCAGTACCCTGAGGGTGACCGCTTGATGGAAGGTCAGCTGTATTTTTAAATATGTTTTTGTTGTAATCTTTTAACAAAGCAAATTGACACTCTAAGTTACAGAATCATTTTTTAAATGTTCATTAATACCATTGATCCTAATTCTTGCTTATGATAACAGTTATTGTTGTAAATTATATCTCATTCATGGTTTTGTGTAATATTGTAATTATTCCTTTTGTTCTCTTTCGTCCTCTGCCTCGTTTAGTTCTCTGCTAGTGAGTAAAAGAAGTTGCTGTGTTTTCCTGCCTTTTGATAGAATAAAGTTTTTATTCTTTAAAATTATTTGTTATTCAACTGCTGTGGCATTAAGCTTAATTTGGTGTAATTGTTTTTTTTTTTTTCAGATGGAACTTTTCTGTTGGACAGCATGATGTCAGTTTCTTAGAAGCCCTTTCAAAAGAGAGTGATAATGGCCACTGTTCAGTTCATGATGAAGAAGTGTTTGCAGACTGGAGCCTTCGTGTGTCCATACCTAATGGTCTTGTAGCAGCAATGGGCTCCCGTGGCTCTAAGCAGGCTGAAATGGTACTTTGGAGTCATCAGTTTGATTCACCAATAGCTGCAGTTTGGAGACTCAATAGGGGATTCATTCAGCAAGTCAGTGTTCTTTCAGAGGAAGTAATGCCAGAACTAGCTGATTCCACTTCATCAAAGATGTTTCCACAAGGACCAGTGATGTACATAGGTGATTTTACTATTTCCTTTTTATCATTGAAGTAACGGAAATTTAGAGGGCTGTACATGCTACAGGTCACAATTAAACCACTTAATGTGTGTCTCTGTCCTAACAGTATACTGACCCATACACTGTAACTCAAATGCTAACTTAATGGGTCATTTAGAATGTCTAAAACAAAGTTCAGCCCCTTTCAAAACTTGTTCGATTATTATAATAAATTGATTAATTGATTAAATTAACCTGCAAGTAGTTTTTAACAAACTTGCCTAATGAAGGATGATAACAAAATTAATACACCTTTAGATCTAGTAATATTAACCTGGTCTGGACCAAATTGACCGAGGTTGAAAACAGATTGACCTAAGAAACAAATCAACCTACAACATGTACATGTATGCATTAATGATAACCTTTGATAAAAGATAATTATAATAAGGATTGTTATTTATTAATTTCTTGTGCAGGGTTGTCAAGATTAGCTGGCTGCCGGTGAAAATTGCAGCCTACTTGGTTATTATCAGCCAGCTACCCTGCTTAGCATTTCTTTATGGATGGCATTTTAAATGAAATATCCCTACTTTGACAACTCAGTCTAGTTCAAAACTTTCTGACAACCCTATCGTGTATAAAGCTGTATCAATGTGCTTAAGAATACTTGTTTTTATTGATCACATTGTTAATGTGGCAATAAGAAAAACCAAATATTCACTTTGAGAAAAATCTGAATAATAGAGAGACCATCTAGGTTGGAAAAAGGGAACCTGTCCTAAAATAAGTAACTCTGACTAGCGATATCAGGAACTTTTAAGAGTATTCTAGATATTGACACACATTTTCTTTTCTGTATACCTAAGGGAAACATGAAGGCCAAGTCTATATTCAAACATCAGCGCCTTATAACCCCACTAGTGAAGCAGCAGCTAAAATTGGTACAGTCAGCGGTAATGAAGTGGCACAAAGGCCTCAACAAATCACTTGGAAGCCATATCTTACAAGCTCACCATCGCGAACACCAACTGTTGTTACTAAAGATTTAGCTGTGTGGAATCCTATGGAGTATCCATTTGGTAGGCATCATGGGCTTAATAGCTACTTGCTATTGCAATATTAAATTTGTGTTAAAATTTGTTGATGGTGTTTTTCACTCCCTCCTCTTTCTTAGCAAGTTTGATTTGCATTCATTGTGTACCCCAGTGCAACTAATCATCTTTCAGTAGTCTTTTAAGATTGCTCGAGTTTCCAGGGGTTTCAATGAAAATTGAAGTAGCCCACAGGTTTGAAAAAAGTAACTGACTGTATCAAAAAGAGGCTTTTACTCCCCTTCTTGTACAGGGGGTCTGGGGTTGTGCACCCCTTGAAAATTTGAAAATTTCAATGCCCTACGATGCAATTTCCACTAATTGTCAAATCCACACTCTGCTACTAAGTTCTTATACATGTGGCCTCATTTTCATAGTTGCATACTATATTATTATTTCAGTAGCTATCTAATTCTTGCTACACCAGTATATTCTCAACTGGGCTCATTGTTCCACACTGTAAGTGTTCCACTTTAATCCACTGAAACCCCTATCCACTGCTATTGAAATTTGAAGTCTTAGAACCAAAAATAGTTTAGCACAAGCACTCAAGTTGTGAGTTACTAGTATAGATGGGCAATGCAGCTATAAAATTAATGGCTTTTTTTCTACATGAAATACCTACAGACAATGGCTATTACTTATATGGTGAGGTGATGCCAGTGATTCCGCCACATACTTGTCAAAAAGACAAGCAGTTGTTCCCCAAGAAGAGCACTATAATTGACAATGCTAACACCTCTTCAGAGACAACTATTGATCGGCCTGCTTCCTCTATGCGGTGGTAAGTTGATAAGAGTGTATGTTTTTAGTCACACTCTTTTAAATATCCTCTCTTTGCGATAGCGTGGCTGAAAGTGCAAATAAGTATTTTGATGTTAATATATAGCTTGATTTTTATAAAAGGCAACTGTATATTCATCAAAAAAGTAATTTATTTGTCTTCATGGCAAAATAATAATAATTAATTCATTTCCGGTACTTTAAATTTGTGGATCTACAGTTGATAAATTATTCTCTGAAGTACTTTGAACTTGCTCCTGTTCAAATGACAGGGGTGGAGGAAAAATGTTCAGACTGTGACAAATGTTATGTCTTCCTGAAGTTCAGTTCACTCACAAAACAAACTTTGATGTTAAAATAGGAGAGCTACCTGATAAGTACTAGTTATTTAAATGAACCTTTACACTCAGTAGTTCTTATCTGGAAGTGTTTGTCATCACTGCAGGTATGCTGCTGTATTTGTGACCTTTGCTACTGCTGTTGTGGCTCAAGTATTGCTTCATGTCCTTAATGGACCCAACAAGAAAAAGGTCAGTTGTCTCCAAATACACATCTAATTACCAGTATGTTAATTGCTATTCCATTTTCACTTTCACACTTCCTATTATGGTCATGACATGTACATGTATCTTGTCCATTGTGAACAAAACTACTGCTATACATGTAAGTAGACAGGTCTATCTATTTATTGTTCTTGCAAGAGCTAGCAAAATTAAAAACCAACAGCCCCACAGACTCTAAAGAGTATATTTTATAATGATTTAGTAAATTAGTGATAGTCCTCAGCTTAAAAGCTGTTATTTAGATGGTCAATGATTTTATTATACTTAAATTCACATGATATGGATGTACGACCCAATTACAACATTGCAAACACCACAGGAAAGTACTATGTACATTGTTTTTTCCATTTGAACATTTAGAATCTTCACATAGTACAGTTCTACTAACTGCTGTCAGGTTGCATGTCAGGTGCAAAGGGTGAAAGGAGAAGGGTGGACTAATGTAAAAGGGCTGTCTTCCCAATACCTCTCTCTTTTCTCTTCCTTGGACCCATCTGTTTCGATGCCTCTTACACAGGCTAATTTCTATAGCAGCCACATTTATAGATTGTGTCAGTCTATAAACTCTTATGATTGAACCAGCCTCAACTCAAGTTTTGACTCCAGGGTGCAATTAAGTATAATCCCCAGTAAAATAACAATTATTGTTACTGATATTGTGGTTGTCTGTCACTCTAACATCACAGGGTGAAGCAGTAAATTTGCAGTTGCAGAGGCTACCTTCAAACACACTAACAGCAACATCATCTACAGCCTCACTGGAAACAGTCATGGTAAAGATATTTTTATACATGATTATCAAAACGTAAATTTTCTCATTACTGTACGTACTGAGTAAATCAACTTTCTCTACCCTAACTCTGTTTAGGTATGCAGGCATTTTGCCTTTTAGTAGAAAAATTTTAGAAAGCTGCCAATGTTAAATTAATATATAAATACTATTTTACCAGGGTCAATGTTTAATGCCGCCATTTGTCTCATCTTTTTCTCAGGGATCTTCCTCACCAACTACACCCAACTCATTTGTGTCAAGGTAAAAATGTTAAATGTTTTCCTCATGACTATGCCAGCTCTATATTCTTCATTCTGTACAACTTTATTTACTTTGTAGTGACACTAAATTATTAATATAATCAATTTAATAAAAAGCAGCTGTATTTTGTGGTGATCAGGAACCCAGTCCATATAATATTATACTTTCAACACAATTTAAGGTGCCCTGGTCAAAAAATTTGACCTGGTAGCTCATTTCTGCCTCAGAGCAATTATTTATTTTTGAAATTCCAATAATTATTGAAAACAACTTCAAAGCTGAATTTTGAATGACTTTTAGTCATGGACGTCTGCTGCAATGATTTCTCTGAAATTTCCCCGGCACTCAATTGTAACAATAAAAACTGATACCACAAATTTCAGTGAACAGGATCCCTTGAGGTATTCATGCAGCATGAATTGGTGTATGTAAGGACTATTTGATTGAAATTCAAATTGACTATTTGAACCTATTGTGTAGTTCCAGAAAATATCCAGACCCCCACCACGGAGGGAATTTCACTTAGGACCCCCCCACCTCCCTGGATTTTCCATTTTTGCAGGGAACTGATGACCCCCCCACCCCTTCGGAATTTCCACAAATATGACAAAGACCCCCCAACCCCTCTGGAAAAGTTCATTTTCACGAAGAAAGACTATTAAAGTAGAAGAATGAGGCAACTTATGGTTAGTACGTAACGGTTTCCATCAGAAGCTTGTATGCTTCTGTATCCATTTATTTGAGTGATCTCGCAACATTAAATCACACTACACCACCATCTCCTTACTTTAAATGAAACAGAGAAAGTTAACAAGTCGGTTATATTTGTGAATTTACCTTAATCAGGGCAAGCTTCGATTTGTTATTCGTCTCATGGGCGTAATGTTGATAGAATTAACGCCATTTCGTGCGGGAATGCAGAACAAGTCAAACTTACGATCACAAAATTAATGCAAAACAAAGAGGAGAATAAAAACTCTGAATTCGGAAATGATAACAATGAATACCCCCTGCATCTTGAAGATACTTGAAGGGAAACCAAGTTCAATTTACTGTTTTTCGATCGACTGATGCGACGTGATGCGCGATCGCCGTAATAAATGTTTGGTGAAATCGACACCATTTCAGCGAGAATTCGATCAAGAACATGCCACACGTTCAACTACAAAATTAAGGGAAAATGAAAAGGAGAATAAAAACTCTTCATTCTAAAATGGTTACAATGTATAGCTTGTGCTTCGTGAGGCAAAATTGCCACTCTTCTGATCTACCGATCGACTGACGCAACGTGTTGTGTTGCGTGATGTGTTGCATGCGTTGATGTTTTGGGGAAGACTGGTAACGAGTAATGGCGGCCGAATAATACGAGCATGCGATAAAACGACTTGTAGTCGGTCTAATTCCTTTAAAATTACATCCAAAACGCTTTTGGAAGAAAGGAAACCTGGTTAAGTTTAAAAGGAACAATCTTAAGTGATATATTTCAAGTTATTTATGTCCTAAAAATGATCTACCAGGTCGGTAAGAAGCAATGTTCGATCTCAGGTCGAAAACAAAATGATATTGCCCCCCTGGAAAGTGATTTTATGGTCCAACCCCCCTCCCTTCTGGAATTTCCTGGGCCTCTGACCCCCCCACCCCCCTGGAATTTCCAATTCCCTCCGTGGTGGGGGTCTGGATATTTTCTGGAACCACACATTTCACTCTTCGAGGCTCGAAGAGTGAAATATATTTCGAGGATTTTAAAACTTCTATAACATTTTTATTTTTACATTTTACATTTCGTACACGTGCATTGAATGTGGTAATGATGTGATGTCTTATTTTACAAGTAGTTTAACCCATTCGCCCCTGAACCGCCCGTAACCGCCCGTGCGGATCCAGGTCCTTTCTACCCTTTGTGACGTCATCAGTTTTAACGGTCAAGGACAACTTTCTTCGCACACGTGTGCAGAGTGAAGAGATCTTTCAAACCATACCAGAATGAGCACAATTCAGTCAAGGACACCGGAGAAAGAAGCAAAAAACCACGTGACAAGGACCTGAAAATCTCCATGAAAATCTTGTTCCATTACCCACCTACCTTTCCTTTCACCTAATCCTAAGATCCTAAAAAGCTTTCCTAAAAACTCTTCCCACCAAAATGAAGCCTACTAAATGCCCAGCAAGAAAAAAAAAATGAGGCAAGAAAAGAAAAAAAAAAGGGAGGAGAGAAAGCGAAAAGTAAAAGTCAAGACTGCTGTGTCACTTTTAAACCCAAAAACTATCTCGAAATTTTGCTTTCTGCGCATGCCCGAACTTCGCAAGCTGATATTTTGCATCTGGATCAGAAGGCCGCCAAGTGTACGACCTGTAAACCGGTTTGTGGTAAGTTTTAGCTCTTTATAGCACGACAGTGACCAGAAAACCACTTGACTAGCTTCAAAACGCGTTTTTCGGCAAAATCTCCAGGAGCGAATGGGTTAAGCAGAGTACCAAGCTTTTTGAAAAAAATCCACTTTTCAGCATAAAACAACCAAATCTGTCTATTTCATGTAAAATCAGGTGAAAAAGTTGGTAAAAGGCCATTTTTAGGTTTTTTGATTAACCCATTCGCCCGTAACCGCCCGTGCGGATCCAGGTCCTTTCTACCCTTTGTGACGTCATCAGTTTTAACGGTCAAGGACAACTTTCTTCGCACACGTGTGCAGAGTGAAGAGATCTTTCAAACCATACCAGAATGAGCACAATTCAGTCAAGGACACCGGAGAAAGAAGCAAAAACCCACGTGACAAGGACCTGAAAATCTCCATGAAAATCTTGTTCCATTACCCACCTACCTTTCCTTTCACCTAATCCTAAGATCCTAAAAGCTTTCCTAAAAACTCTTCCCACCAAAATGAAGCCTACTAAATGCCCAGCAAGAGAAAAAAAAAATGAGGCAAGAAAAGCGAAAAAAGAAGGGAGGAGAGAAAGCGAAAAGTAGAAGTCAAGACTGCTGTGTCACTTTTAAACCCAAAAACTATGTCGAAATTTTGCTTTCTGCACATGCCCGAACTTCGCAAGCTGATATTTTGCATCTTGATCAGAAGGCTGCCAAGTGTATGACCTGTAAACCGGTTTGTGGTAAGTTTTAGCTCTTTATAGCACGACAGTGACCAGAAAACCACTCGACTAGCTTCAAAACGCATTTTTCGGCAAAATCTCCAGGAGCGAATGGGTTAAGTTATTCGAACACATTCCTAGTCTTGGCATTTACGATTTCTCAAAAATATAATAATATTGTTACCAATATTATTTGTGTCATTATAATCAACGTGAAAAAATAGTAGTATTATAATAAAATTATTTGATGTATTTTCTCACAGATACCTATCTGACTTTGAACATGAACTGTGTTTGGGTAAAGGTGGTTTTGGTTTAGTGTTCCAAGCAAAGAACAAGCTGGATGACTGTCAGTATGCCATCAAAAGGATTCATTTACCCAACTGGTAAGAGCTGTCAACTACAGGTACATGTAAAAGTTGCTTAACTTGTCTCTGCATGCTACTTTTTAAAGAACACATCTTTCTGTCGAAGTGTAAGCTTCTGTATGGGTATTTTCACGATTGTCATAATTTGATGGAGTGACAATCTTAGAGATTAAAGTGAAGATCACATTGATAAAATATTAGTCTGTAATGACGGCAAAGAAACCAGTCAAAAAGTGAGCTGCACATTCAGAGTTTTTTGTTTTGCCTATTTCCTTGTTTCTATCATCATTGTGGTTGCGAGCAACTCACAAGGTGCATTACCATGCAGAACAGTGCTTGGTATGTGACGATTTCTCCTGAAAACCCAACAATTTGATGGAAAATGTGCAATGAAATCAACATCTGCGGGTACTTGTACCTGTACAGAGGCTTAAATGTTTGTGGTTGTCTAATTGATTTGTTTATTATTGTTGTTTTTGTTTGTAAAGTGATGAAGCATTAGACAAAGTGAAACGGGAGGTGAAAGCTTTAGCCAAGCTGGAGCATCCTCATATTGTGCGGTATTACAATTCATGGTTTGAGGCGCCTCCTGTAGGCTGGCAGGAAGAACTTGATATGCAGATGCTTGAACAAGGGTATGTACAGTGTATGGTATAATGAAACATTGTTGCTACTACAGTATAATACAAATTTAAATTGCCACCTCAAGGAAAAAAACCAATTATTAGAATGATAAACTGCAATTTCTTTAACAAAAAGAAAAAGTGGAAGCAATGATTCCTTTCATTCTTGCTTTCGGTCCTCTGGATACACCGAAGTTATTGTAGAAACTTGCAATACACAGACGGCTTAAACCATTTAGTTCTAGTAGTTTAATTTATAGTTCAATTAGCAGCTACTATTTAAACTTAAACCAAAATAATGCCTACATCCGTCACCACAAAGATACTGGTATTAAAACCCATGAAATTACATGACTGTATCTCTGGAAAAAGAACAAATCCAGATTATCTAGTTTATTTATTTGTTTACTTCTTTTCAAAAGGTCTTTCTGTGGATTACCTTCAGAAGTTCCATCATTTAATTCAGGAATTATAATGAAGGCACCATCTACAGAACAACTCTTGGAACAAAATGGTAAGTCAAACACTTACGACTGTGTCATAAAGTGTGATTGTTATTTTGTTGATAAAAGGTTGCCCACAGGAAAAACTCTTGATTATGGTCAACAGATAAATTCTACAGTCAAGTGCTTTGTGATGCTGTTAGTAGTTAATAATATTGTTGTCTTAGTTTGCAATAAACCAGGGGTCAATTTAATAAAACTATTACAATTGAAATTTACAGTTCACTGCAGTAGCTATTGTTTTTAGACACTAAATCAATTGGCCTTGTAAATAATTTGCCCTTTTAATATATTGACCCTTGTGTCTGATCCCCTTATTAAAAGTTTCAACTTTCTCATCTTAGGAACAATCTTACTAAGGGAAGCAGGAAATAAAATTGGCCAAGGATTATGACTTCATTATTGTTTGGAAAGGCACATTTTCAGAAAATGTAATTGAAAATGAGTAAGCATAACATCATAATATCCACCAACCCTTTTACATTGCAGGTGTACAGGAGGACAAATTTACTAGAAGAAGGAAGAAAACAAATTCTGGCTGCCGATCAAGACATTCTTCATTTAATTCAAATAAGGATGAAGACTACATTCATGACAGTGTAAATGGAGAGATTGATATCCACCAGTTAGAGAATGAAGCGTTCATAGAGGGACATGAAGTCAGTGATTCCTTTAGTATAGAATTTGAATCCTCAAGGAATAACAGACATTCAAATTTGCCGAAAACTGGAATCTATACTAACTTTAAAGAAGACAGTGCATCTAACAGCATTGTGTTCAGAAGTTCAGATTCAGGCCAAATTCAGGTTGGTGCAGACATATTTAATTCATTATTATTTACCTAATTCTGTAAAATACTTTAACCTTCATTCGTTATGGAAACATTGTTTGTGGACAGTAGTCAGGCCTTGAAAAAAGTCCTGTTCAGTAGGAAAATAGGTTTTCTTGCTGGGCAAGTAACTTTTAAAGTTCACCTGCATGATGGGCAAGGGTTAAGGCGAGCCATCATCCAACTAAATCATTAACTAAGAGAAGCAAGTAGTTGCCTAATGGCCAAGCAAAACATGAGAGATGCTTGCGCAAAGGACATGCTGGAATTCAAGTGTTTTGGGGGGCCTGAGAAATGGCTTATGAAAAAACTTGTTATTGCAGATCACATGAAGCAAAAGATTCATCACAAAATGAAATGGTATGCGGGACACAAATTTTGAAAATGCTGAGGTTTGACTTGTGGGGTAAAGGAAGAGTGACATGGAATAACGAAAGGGTCATTTGTCAGGAAAAAAGCCCCAAGTGATCATGACTTCTTATGTTTCTTGTAAGGCAAAAGGAGAATTAGCCAAGTTCGAACTCTGTTTACTTTGTAACATAGTAATGATGGGGGGTGGGGGCATTGGAAGTAAATAAGAATTGACAGTATGAATAAATGTCCTACCAGTCTGGCAAGATTAATACAATAGGGACTGTCTGAAGTAGTTGATCTCTAAGCCAGAGATACATCATGGAAGTTGTCATAAGAATTTATTGTTATTTTTTTAGGATGGGAACAGTATTGGATCCTTGTCATTATCAAGCACTTCAGAAGACTCATGTTCCAGGGAAACCTGCTCATCAGAAGAAATGCATTTCACTTCCTCACATCGCTCTCTGCTTTCAAGTAATGTTTTGCTCTTTACAGAATTATTCATTGTTTATCTGACATTTTCTTTCAATTTAACATATTTTTTCTTGAGTGCTGCGGATTTATTCTTTAAATCACACTCATGACATGCCAAATATCACATTTTTCTTGTATTTTTAATTGTTCATGTGTTTTTCCTATGATCATTTCAGGGGATAAACACAAGTGTCAAAATGAAGACTGCAACGCCGATAGACGGTCAGCGCCCCTATACGTATTTATTCAGATGCAATTGTGTCAGCGTGAGAGCCTAAAGGACTGGCTGAAAGCCAATCAAGAGCGCAACCACGTCTTCTGCCTTACAGTGTTTGAACAGGTTATTGAGAATTTGTGTTTACATGTAAATAGTAGATACATCATGTGCAAGCAGATTCAATCCATCCTAAAGTCTTTGTCTAGTTTAGCTTTCTTTATGTAAAAGTACACGATTTGAACTCCTTTTAAACTCGCTTTTGTTTATTCATTCCTTGATAATGGCATCATGAGGTCCTCAAGACGTCAGGACAAATACGTCACTAGTTTTAACTTCTTCATGTCTCTGAAAGTCATTAACTTGCATTAACAAGGAGTGCTATTTAATTATAGGGATCCATATTCATTTTTTCTCACAGTTGTCAGTCGGGCAAGTATGCCTGGTGGCATACTTGTGCAGTTACAATTTTGGTTACCTGGACAAAAGTGCAGAATTAATTATTTAAAAGAATAGTGAAAAAATTGTGTGCAACTTGAACATTCCTGATAGCATATTTTTTACTTCCATTATTGGTAGTAAGAAAGACAGTGTGCTTACGTTTTCCCCCGTATAAGGCAGTGGCTCCTGCATCACTTTTTTATTTCCGTCGAAGGTAGTGAAACGTCTTCTAAAAGATGTCACATCTTGTTGCGTATAAGGCACCAGCTTCTGCTTCACCTTTTTTTTTTTCTGCTGAAGGTGACGAAATGCCTTCTAAAAAATGCCACATCTTGATAAGTGCTGTCACGTTTTCTACAAATGGCCTCTAAATGCAGCACTTCACAAAAAACTGAGCCTGCGATCATTTTGCAGAAAAAACTGCACCGTCATCTTATCGTTGGTATGAGACTGTAGTCGTCTTGGACGACTGGGAGTATGGATCCCTGTGATTATGTGACTTCTTAGATTGAGTGATTATTCATATTTCATATTTGGTTTGTATCATTAACCTAAATTTGTGAAGACTTTATGTTTAATACTTCTGGCAACTACCACAGTGCTCCAGGGTTTTAGTTTTGTACCCAAGGAAAATAAAATATGGCTCCTAAAACTTCACTGGGCTTACTAAATAATTATTGGAATAAGAAAGGAAGAAAAATAAATTTATTTTGACTGATAATTTTTGTAAACATAACTCCAGCCTGTATTAGTGCCATGCTAATATTACTTACTGAAATGAGTCTTACTCAAAGTGAACTCTTCAGTATTCATTTCATTAATCCCTGTGTACTTCATTACATTTAGTTTCAGTGTTTCGTATATATTAGCTTTAGCCACTGGTTGTTAAAGGTTGTTTTGTACTGTCGTACAGATTCTGCATGCTGTTGAGTACTTTCATGGTAGAGGACTTATGCACAGAGATTTAAAGGTATTAAAGTCAATAATTAAAAATAGAAATTAATTTTATTGTACCCCATGGGTACAAAGAAGTGAATAATTTATTCCATTGCTTTTGTGTTTTATCTTTTGTTTCTAAAAATATTTTAACTTTCAATTGTCACCTTTTTTGTATGGCAGCCATCTAATATCTTCTTTTCTATGGATGGGTCTGTGAAAGTGGGTGACTTTGGTCTGGTGACAGCTCACACATCAGAAAATAACATGGACAGCCCTGTGAAAGGTACATCACTGTAACTAAATCATTGGTCTGTTTTTTATTTTGGTTTAGGTAAGAACTTGAGCCCAAGAAAGACTCTCATCAAGGCTCCGTTTCACTTTTTTATCTCTTAAACTCTTAAACTCTTAAACTATTGTGGATTGGCTTAGTTCAAGTTAGACTTCATTGTGTCAAAGCAATATTTTAAGTTTGTTTCATTATCTTCAATTAACCAAAAAGAGAAGAAAGTGCAAACGAAAGAGGCGTGGTGCCTTACAAATTCAAAGTTTCACCAGATGAGGGTGCTTTTGGTTTCTGGAGCTCCTGTCAAAAACCAATTTTAATTGCTTTAATTAATTTTTTGTGATCTACTTCATTGTCCATTTGCTTCGACTTCATACAGACTAGTAATCCTGATAAACTGTGTGTGTGTGTTGCATTGGAGTACATGTAATATGTAGCATGGAAATAATATAAGCATAGTATATGCCATCCAGACAACTTATCGGTAACAATATAACAACTCTAAATTAAAAATTAGCAAATCTCTCAGTTCAGTACACATGATATTTTTAGAGGGGCTACTTCTCAAGTGGTGAAAGCTCATTATTTTTGTTACTTTCCCTTGAGTTGATCACAATAACCTTTTTTTGGCTTCCCAACAACTGCTTTTTATTAAGAGTTTTCATTTATGATGTTAATAGGAATTTAAAAAATGTGTTGTACGATACATCATTATTTTTTTCTCCAGTTGTTTGCCTTTCTGCATGATGTATTGATTTTACATTCTTTATTGTTATCCTTCAAAGGATCTTTTATAGATGACATAAACCACACAAGTCAAGTGGGAACCCAACTTTACATGAGTCCTGAGCAGGTAATAAATATTAACAAATGAGGTCTACCTTCTTCTATCTTCTACAATACACATAAACAGTATAATTATTATTTATTTACAGAACAACAAGACTGTGGGACACAGTCAAAAGCGACAATACTACAAAATTTGAGACCTTTTGAGACTATGATTGTATTTATTTTGCAAAGAACAACAGTTGTTTACTAATAAATTTCCAACCACCCTATATTCCTTAAAACATGTTAATACAAGTTTTAAGGGGATCTACAACCCAAACATAGAGGAGATTCTGGTTGCAACCTTTCTGACGGTTTGGCATTAAACCAAAATATCTGGATATTTTAAGGAATGACACATTGACATTCTCTGGTTGTATCGGTTTTTATAGGTAGAAAAGTTGTGACAAAAACACTATGTAGATTGTGTTCATCAAACTGAGTGAATCTGACGTTCTATCTGTAAGGCATAATTCTAACTGATCAGATGCAATACTTTTAATTCTTCAAATCTCAGATGGAGGGAAAAGCATATTCACACAAAGTGGACATCTTTTCACTGGGGCTCATCTTTTTTGAACTGTTTTGTCCATTTAGTACACAAATGGAGAGAATTAAGGTAAAAATTTGCTGAAAAATATTAAATATTTTTATTGATTTGTTACTAATAGAGTGGTGGATTGAATGGCAGCAAGCTTAAGAGAGCTATAAAAAACAGTGACAAAAATAATTTAATGAGGTTTTTGTGGTGCCTGAGATAATCAGGGTTTGCTAACCATGACAGCAAGATAGAGTAATCTTACCTTCATAACCACTGTCTTATATGAAGCAGACTGATCAAGGTTTTGTTTGTACTGTGTGTTGTCAATAATATTTTTTCAAAATGAGAATTGAAAATGAGATTCGTCAGGTTCTTGTTCCCATGGTAGCACAATGCCAGAAACACTGTTAGTCTTGAAGACCGCAAGCAATAAGAAAACCATTTTTTGTTGGACTGGGCTTGTTTGCTCCAAATTGTTGGCAATACAGACTACATGTCTCAATGGAACAAGACTCCTCCTTGGTGATTTCACCCTTTATTTTCTTTACTGCACTTGCTCTTTCTTTCTTGCTCCTTGATCCTCTGTATTCTATGACTTGTTAGGTGATGTGTGGTGTCAAACAGAGGAACCTTCCCACTGAATTTGAAGCAAAGATGCCTCTTCAGGTATGTTGCTAACAGCTAACCGGTCTCTTTTGTTTGGTCTCTCCCACTCTTTGCTCTAGTATGGTTGAATAAGACCTTTTTTCTGAAAAGAATGTGCAGTTTGGGGTGGAATGAACAGTACAGTTACGTTTTAAAACTGAAAGTGGCTTAACAGAGATCCTTTCAAGGAATGAAAAAGGGCAACATATGGTCGCCTGGAATTTTCTTAGTACTGTGTTGTTATTGATTTATTTCAATTTGTATTTTCCTTTAGTCACAACTTGTTCAATGGCTTGTATCAGCTACTCCCAAGGCAAGACCAAATGCGACAGAAGTGAGAAATAGTGACATACTGCAGCAAATCCGTCGAAGTGTTTCTTAAAATTACTCTGTCAGTAGCCATCCTAGTAGTGCACTCCCAGAGTACAGAGAGAAGGTGATAAAACACGTGCTAAGTATGTATACATTGTAGGGGATGGAATAAGTTATAGTGTTGTGGTAGGTCTCAATTTAGCGTTTCATTGATCAATAGTTCAATGATGGACGGCAGCAAATATTCAGTAGAAGGAATTGAAACAGGAAAATATGCAAACTGTACTGGATGTACCATGTTGCTATTTGTCACGCCAATTTTTGGAGTGTTATTTTGGTGTGGCAAAATAGTAAATTATTGACATTTAATGTATTGTGTTTTGAGGAGCAAAATAGTTTTTGATAAAGGAAGAGATACCTGTCACTAGGCAGAATAGCTGTATTTTATAGACATTTTTTAAAATGTATCAAACACTTTACCATGTCTCTTCTGACATGGTGCAGTCTAGTATTTTTTTAAACTGACTGTGAAGTGTCTGGATAACAGGTAAAACACTGTTTGGAGTATATATATGACATAGTTGTTCAAATGAACTAATTCTTGAAGATGTTGAAAACCACAGTTGGTAAATTGTTATCACAATTATCGTCTTTCTAAATCTTCTTCACGTTATTGATGCGCTTTATTCTCTCTTTATGACTTGTACATAAGTTTGATAAAGAAAAACTGCCGTTCATTCTTGGGACAAAGTTGAATAATTCTAGTAAGGTACCTTGTATTTTGTGGGAAGGTTGTTTTTCAAACTCGTGACATTTTTTTTTTCGAACTCTGCTAGAAGTATCCCATTCGCTTGTTAAGTTCGTTATTCATAGAATTTGATGTATTATGGACTTTTTGTATCATAAAAAAGAAATGTAGATAGGACTGTAATTAGATTTTTGAAACTTGTATTATTTATTTTGACAAAGGAATAAAAGATGTACAAAATCTGGTCTTTTTATCTACTTCTACGTCATACAAAATGTATCAGTTTCCAACTGGTATAGTGGCGTAAAATCTGTTCTAAGCTGAACTTTCGTCTAATGTATTACTGAGCCACAAGCAAACTTGCAACCTAATTGTTGCCTATTTAATTCTTAAACTGGTTGATTTGTAGTCATCGTACTTAGGCGATAGTAATTTTTTTGACCCGTCGTTATGGTCAACTGTCATTTGGAGATAAAGACTCCATTCCCTTTATACAGTTTTCGCACTGTTCAACAGTTTGGGTTAACATATCCATCATTTCTGGGTTAAACATGGTAACAACGTCAACGTTTAGCATATGACAGCGAACTGTTGAATAAAACAAAACAAAAAAACGTGAACGTGAGTACAGTACTTACGACCTTAGTAATTTAAAAGATAGTCCACCCCCGGCGATTTCCCTTCGCATACGCGCAAAGGGAAAAGAAGTAACAGTTTGAATCGGCCTTCACAGCGGCTTGTTTGCGATGTCGCAGTCAATGAAGCAGTAAGGAGGGGATTGCGGTAGATCGATCAAGTCTGTAACGTGTGTGAGACCGACCAGAGACAGGACCTCTGCTATCTTTTCTACCTGTGGGAATTCCCAGTTAGAAGTCAACATGTACTTCCTTTTCGATTACTACTATTACTACAATGCGCGTACTCCTAAACATTTAGGAGTGTCCCCTATGCTTCCCGTTGTTTCATGATTTGGGGGGAGAGCATCTGTGTGCAGGTCATGCTTTAAAGGGTTGGTTGCTGGTCGTCTTTTAAGTCTTTTATCATGGGATTTGCAGAAGCATCGATCCATAGTTATTCTTTTGTCTGTAGATCATGTGACCAGTGAACGCAGAGTCCGGATAAAGTACATACTCGTCATTTGGTCTTTTCACGAGACATTTGGGGCCTACATATATTCAGAAATGAAACAACAGATCACGCAAGTTGGGGAGGATTTGTTTTTAGTTTGAAGAGAGTTTTGGTTTTTAACGCCCACGGTGGTAGTCTGCTCAAAGAACGGCTCTAAAGCAGACTTACAGGGTCGTGATTTTAGAACATTATTCCAAAAGTCAAATAAAGTTGAACTCCCGTGCAACGAAGAGCCTAATCTCGTCCTCTGGGTCTTCTCGTTTTCCAATATAACCCTAACCCCAACCCAAATCGCTAAGGCGATATGAGAAGGGATGCCCATATCACCCGGGTTTTGGGAAACGCGAGAAGATCCCAGATACGGTTTCGAAGAGTCCGAGAGACAAAAAAAGAGTTCTTTTACAGTGTGTACAGCAATTATATACAGCTGATTCAATAAAGTTGCTTTGGGAATTACGCTCTGGGAAGCTATTTTTTTGGTGATCAGTCAAGAAAATCATTGCAGCGAGTTCCGTATATTTAAAGCACAATTGACCACTCCAGAAAATACCATAAACATGCCATGATGGTCTTTGTCACCCCAAAATTTTACATAGGCATTGTTTTCAGTTTCTCTTCGGGCCATTTTAACCCCCAAGAGAAACCGAAGTCAAGGTTTTTGCAAAGTTTGGGGGTGACAAACAAAGAGCATTGTGGTATGTTATGGTATTTTCTGGAGTAGTCAATTGCCAATTCCCAATGCCCAAAGCTGTACCATTAAATTATGCCCTAAAAGCCGGTGCAGGTAATAGCCACAACCCACTGAGGGTTGGTGTTGAAGTATTGGTACTAACCACTTGCTTTTGTTGCAGTTTCCTTTATCGCTGCCAGGGTCTTCTCAATCTCTTCCATTCTTGTGATCATATTTTCGTAAGTATCAGGGCACCCTAAGAAAAACAAAGCAGAACTTTGGCTTTTCTTTTGGCAGTCTTGCAAATAGAATATTGCTCATGTCAGCTTCGGATATCGCAGAATGCCAGAGAAAAGAAATTCCAGTAAACTTATATTCCAAGTTGCTCTAAGACTCTCCTAGTCCTTGCCTTTAATGTCGACCTCAATTAATATATAGGACCAAAAACCGAAATCCATCTTAGAATGATTCCAGTAAAATATATTTCATTTACCTTTGTCTTGTTTTAAAAAGGTCAAGGAATTACTTACCTTGGCTCTGATCATTTTTTTGACCTCGTTCTCCATTGTTCAAGGAGACGTTCTTGGTTCAAGGAGAGAAAAAAAATATGATCAAAAAAGAGATATGAAGCCCACCCAGGAAAGTAATGTGTGGCAGGTAACAGTATCAGCGACAGTATCCTAGATAAAAGCTTCTATTAAAAAGATAGACCCATTTGCGACGGTACGCGTATAGCCGTCGCGTCCGACGCGAATTTTATTTAAGCTTAAGACAGGTAAAGAAATTTGCAGTATAAAAGGCTACAGCTATACGCGTATGGTGCAAATGAATATATCCTTATACTAGGAATTAGGAACAGAATATACGTACTTGCCACTGTGCGCTAGTCATCGGCGATGCGCTCGTGTTGTTGAAGGCTTGATTGGCGGCACTGAGGAGCAAGACCATCGAATTAGTTATTTACAGATTAAGACCACAAGAGAAGTTAAAGATAATTTTGTGGTATAGTCTTCCGATTTTTTCTCACATCTGCTTAATTTTGACACTTTTCTTATCGCAACAGGGCATTTAAACGAGTGGAAGATTGCCATAGTATTGTTAAATTTATTCTTTTGCAGATTTTCAAGAAGAAACTTGTAAAACGCTATTCAGCAACGCTTAGTTTGAAACACTGTAATGCGATATGGCTACGGACAAAACTCAATGAACTATTTTTCATCTTAATGATTATTTCAGCTTATCTTTTACACCGCGAGAACAGCTTTCAATGCTGTCTTTGAATAGTTGTAATTAAAGTTCACATGATTTACATAGCGTATTAAGACATTACCATGATTCACCCTCACGATTCATCTGATCGCGAAGAAAATCTGTTTCTTTTCGAACTTCTTGACCAGAAAACTGCAAAAAAAAAGAAAAAAAAAAGGAAGATCGCGAATTTCATACTGCTCATTGTATACAGTTAAAAGCAGCTGTTTACAAGAGAAAAAATAAAGCCTAACTTGAGCTCGTACGGTTTAAAAATATTCGAAAAACAACCTGCTATAGAATGTGAATATTTAATAACAATTCTGGCTAAAAACCTGGTCGAGTTATCTCTTTACTTGTCAATTATTTGTGCGTTTTTCCAACGAAACTAAACATTCACTTGTACTCTGAAATTCCTGCGGCTTTTTTTGTAACAGTTTAGATGGGTTGTAATAAGAAAGGAAAAAAAGTTGTATAAATGAAGATAAACATTTGGTTGAATGTGAAATAAGGTATTTGAGGCATACAAAGGAACATTTTGTTCAAAATTCGCATTTATACGTTTAGTTCGGCTTGGAGGGAGAACATAAGTTAAGCCTTAATACTTTGACAAGCATTTTCCCTTTCAAGATTTCAGGCAATAAACACTAGTAGACCTTGAAATGAAAAGCTGTGAATCGCTAGTTTAATCCGGCCATTAAATAAACACTATTTCCACGGATCTGGATAGAAAAGCAACAGAATAATGCTGTGCAAAGAAATAATACAAAAGTGCTTACTTGTACTTGTGAATAGACGCTGGTCTCAGGAGGCTGGTAGCTCTCCGTGTTGTCATTCGTATGCATATTTAGCATATATAAAATAAACTATTGCCCCAAAGACGAGTACTACCAAGACAATCGTTGAAGCCAACAACAGCTTTAGACGTGCTGAAATTGGACGAGGGAGCTGATGAACAATAATTTGTGTTTCTATTCTTTTTCTTGAGCACTCGCCTTCTTCTAAGAGCGTTTCGGCCATCGTCGCCAGCAGCTTGCCGGACGCGTTATAAGCGCGGGAAAAATACATGACAAATGAAAACAATCTCGTTCATTGGTCAATTTTTTAGCATCACTTAGCCTGCGTGCAGCAGTCATGTTCATTCGTTGCATTCATTTGCCATACTCTCATCCATAAGTTACTTTTCTAAATTCGATTTCTTTTCATTCAACGGCTTCATTAGGTACTTTGTTTAAGGTACACTACAATAAAAATTTTGAAAAGTTGAAGATTCCGCGAAAAGCACGGTTGCGCTGGTTGCGTCCGGTTGTGATAGCAACAGCGTACAGAGAGGAAGAGAGAGAACCCTGGGAACGAGCTGGTGGTTGAAACGAAGATATAAGGCGATCTCTTATTGGATAGAATCTTATCCAAGATTCTATTGGTTCAATTTATTCCGTGGTCAAAATGGCTTCCCATGGACGTGATCTGAGAAGATTTGTCGAATTTGGCCGAAAAATTATCGGCGTAGGGAAGAACTACAGGTTGGTGATGTGTTGAGCATATAAAACAAAGTAAGAAGCACTATTCATTCTGTAAGACTTACTTTGTAAAATGTTCATGTAGGCCAAACGGATCACCGCAGCAACCTCCTCCTGCTCAAGACCCCTTAATCTTTCTCAAACCGTCGTCCACGTATCTGAGACCAGGAGGGAAAATCAAGGTAGGTTTTAAAATTTCCTTGGTTAGGGTTTCATGTGTTAAAACACATGAACATCAACTTACCTAAAAATACTAAATTCCCAGGAAAAAATCCCGCGTACCATATTCCTCGAATAAGCGCTTGGGCGATTACTCGAGGGGGGCTCTTACTAAGTTCCCCTGTTGTAATCAACCGTACCGTAGTCCCGTTATACAGTTTACACAAAAAAATCGAGCACAAAATTTGCATGGCACTTACTGGGCTCCATAGAAACAGGTTATCTTTGTATCCCTACCATTTAAGAAAGTGATGGGGAGGGAAAGCCAGGGGGTTCTTTTAACAAGGTCTACATCAGTTTACATCTACAACTTTAATCTATAACGGTTTCCCATTACATAGATATGGTGAGTGCTTTCTTGATATTTTGGCCTAGAGGGTGGGTGCTTATTCGGGGGAAGGAGCTTATGAGAGCATAGGCCCCTATTCGAGGAAATACGGTATCCAGTGTGACAAGGCATGTGACATTCTCACCATTACATGTCAGAGAATCCTAGCCACCATCTTTACACTTTTACATTTCTTGCACTGCAGTGGATATCATCTGAGGTTTGTAAGCAATATCCTTTGCTTCTTATGTACAAGGAGGGGGGAATTGATATTCTGTAGGTTGCTGGGGTGAGTAATATGACTCTCGTTTTCATAAAACTGGGGCTTAAAAAGGATAGGAGGATAAACTGAGGAACCAAAACATTTATTGGAATCTCGCTATCCTCATAAATTTCTTGAATTTCCAAATCCTACATTCCCAAATCCATTGTCCTATTGATAGTTATATATGTGTTAATACCAAGTGTGAGGTCAAAGATGGCTGGATAATGGCCAAGTTAATTTGTTTGGGAGGGAGGTATTATGATGGACTGAGACAAACACAAGGGCAACAAAATTGTAAAAAAAAACATAAGGCTAATATCCAGTCATCTCAACCAAACAAGCTTGGTCAATAAAGGATTTATCATATGGCCAAGAGAACTTTTTTCTTGTGGGACAAACATCCTCTGTGGCCAACTTGCTTGCTCGAGTAGCCAATCAGAATACAGGATTCACTTCATCCTGCCCACCTGCAGAAGGAGCCAATAACAATTTTGTTTTCCAAATCTTCCTCCCCTTTTCCCTCAAAATCCTGAATTCCAGCTTTCAAATGAGGCAAATTTTCCCCTGAGAACAGTCTTATATCTACACTGTGCAAAATGTGGGTTGTCTTTGACTCTTTGTAGATGTAAGCATGCCTCCGAATTGACTGTGTCCCTAGATCTCCTTTGATCCTTCAGAACCTTAAAATACAAAGTCCATTTTCATGGTCTATTTTTTTTGGACTTTGTTTCATTTACATTTTCATTGCTTTGACAGATTCCTGTAGGCTGTGATCACATCCACCATGAAGTGGAACTTGGTGTTGTTATTGGTAAAACAGGACTGAACATTCCTCAGGCAGAGGCTATGGACTATGTTGGGGGATATGCCCTGGCTTTAGACATGACTGATCTTGACTTAATTTTCAAAAGGGTAAGCTTTCTTTTTACTTAAGGATGCATGTAGCTGTGTGCATTTGTTTCTTTCAATGGTTTCTAACTAAAGGGACAAGTTGACAAGAGTGTGTTCTTTTTGTATTTTTTGTTCTTCTGAAATTTAAAATTAGCTCATTTATTAGCCAATTATAGGTGGAATTTACACACCTTCATTGTTTGGACTTTGTTGTGCTCCCAAAGCTTGATTTCTTTGTCATTATTCACATTTACAACTATTAAGTTATTGTAGGAATAATTTGTCAGCCTTTATTAGAAATGTACTTGTGGACTTAGAATTTTGAAAAAAAAAATTCAATTATTTTCTCTAAATATTGATCTACAGGATGCCTCATCTCCTATCACCTATCCATGGGCTCTTGCAAAAGGTTTTGACACTGCGACACCTGTGGGTGACTTCATACCTAAAGATGATATTCCAAACCCTGATAATGTGCGACTATGGCTCAAGGTGGATGGTGAAATGAGACAAGATGGAAATACCCAGGATATGATTTATAAAATTCCTCATTTAATTAGTTTTGTTAGTCAATACATGACCCTAGAGGAAGGAGATTTTATTTTAACAGGGACTCCAGAGGGTGGTGCTGCTGTCCAAAGAGGCCAGGAGATATTATGTGGTCTTGGGGATAAAACTGAGCTAAAATTTCCTATTTCTCAGTAGATGTGTTACTAAACTAAAATTGAAAGCACCAAGGCCTTCCTGTAGGGCTTGATGTGTAGAGTATATTTTTAATCACAAATAACAACCATTCTTCAGGGGCGGATCTAGGGGGAGGGTGCAGGGGGTGCGCAAACCCCCCCCCCCCCTGAGATGACCTGCGGTTTTCTAATATAACTGGTATTCTGCAAAAAAAAAAACAACTATGTGGTTTATTGGTGTTGAAGTAGAGCAAGAGACGAGTGCACCCCCTCCTAAAAAAAATCCTGGATACCCCCTGTTCTTAGTGTTTCTTAACCAATCTGCCAATGAATTTTTCACCAAAAGATGTCTTTTTAAGTAGTTAAATTAGTGGCCCACAAAAGGAGATACAAGAGAGAGGGATGCAAAATTTTCAGCCAACTGTATGAACATTGCAAGTTCCCCTTTCTTCAACTCTTTGCCGCTCCATTGTGAAATGGAGAGCTTGTTTGCAGGCTAGACAAAAGGAATGAAAACTATTCAAATCACAAATCATCACCTTTCAAACCTCTCATTGTATGAGAGGTATGCCATTGTATTACCTTGGATCCACGTATGTGTGCCATGTTTTACTATCATCCATGTTACATGAATTTCTCTGAGTTAGGAAACTTTTAATGTATAACATTTTACCACTAGGGACATAGACTGTTTTATTTAGGAAGTAATTCTTGGTTAACAGGGGAAGCAGCTAATAAATAACACGCAAAGCTGGCAGTTTTGTTTGTTGAGTGTGCAACTGAATTGCAAAGCCACAAGGAGAATTATGGTGCACAGCTTTACTGCTCTTACACATGTTTTCACAGCTTTTTTCGCCCTCTTACCAAACAAACCACCAACTAAGCAGGCTACTCACTGATTTTCAGTCATCAAATCAGAATCAAAGCTGAAACTTAAGCTAAAACATACTTTTTATAGGAAATATCTGTTCAGAGTTATAGCATTTGTTTTACAATTTCTAAAATAACTCAATATACTTGAATTAAAACCATCGGTTTTCAAAGTTTGAGCCTTATTATTACTTTTTGTTGTTGTTGTTGTTGTTGTTGTTGTTTTGTAACAACCTCAGAGCATCCACATTTTAATTCATAGGGGTATGCAAATCCGCCAATCCGTTATGATTTATTAACCAAATCCACCCTTCCATTTTCGCCCTGAATCCGAAATCCGGGCAAAAATATTTTAATTACACGCAAAGTCCAAAATCTTGGTCAAAAAAATAGATGAATCCGCAATCCGCTACAATTGCAGGATCCGGAAATCCGTTAAAATCTCGCTTTGAATCCGAAATTCGGGCAAAAATATATTTTTTAAAATCCGCCGCCAATCCGTTCGCCTATTCACCCGCTCCTTGGGCAAGATTTCCATGTATTTATGTGAAGACTCGACAGATTCATGTTATGTATGCATAATACAATGTATGGAACAGTGCGGAAATCTTACCCTCACTTGTGATGAGATCAAAAGTTTACATTCGAGCGGGTTTTTAAGGCGTTTTTATGTAAACTCCAGTGTTATTTTTTAGGTATAGACCTCAAGCCAAGAGAAACCTATGGACGTGAATCCTTGAATCACTAACTATCAGCTGAACTTTAGTAGCCCAAAGCATCATCTTTTTCCAATAAAACAGTGCAACCACAGGGGCGGATCTAGGGGAAGGGTGCAGGGGGTGCGCCCCCCCCTGAGATGACCTGCGGTTTTCTAATACAACTGGTATTCTGCAAAAAAAACTATGTGGTTTATTGGTGTTGAAGTAGAGCAAGAGACGAGTGCACCCCCTCCTAAAAAAAATCCTGGATCCGCCCCTGAACCAGAATGCCCCCGTAAATACAAATTCCTGATTTTTACTTCAATGTTTCGTCAAGTTTTAAACCCTGCTAACGCGCTATAAATTCGTTTGCGAAGTCCTTGTTTCCATTTTTTGGTTTAGATTGTGCACAAAAACACAGGTCCCGATTGTGCCTTCCTTTCGTAAACCTTCTGAAAATTGAAAAATGGTGCCCCTCTATCTGTTATTTTTTTCCCTCTCTAGCCAAAGAAACAAAGAAGCAAAAAAAAAAAGCCTGATCTCAGATTACCTTTCACGTAGCTCAACTCGTTAAGGTATCACTTTGGGCGGAGCCACCCCATATACGCCATCATGGGAAGTACCCTCCACCACAGCCTTCCAAAACTCACTAAGCGAACGCTTTTTAAAAATTAATACTTCTGGCAACGCTGCTTAACAAAGCGATTTATAGGGTTCATATGGGAACAGTGAAAATTCGAAAAAACTCGCCTCATCTTTGCTTTATTTCATATCAGGAACAGGAAGTTTGGGAAGTGAGGTAGGAACGCGTGACGAGCCTTTAAGAACGTCTGCGTTGGACCAAGAGGCTAATAGTTGCCAAGAAGTGCCGCGACCCAGTTCGTTTTCCCGTCCAAATAGACACGGATAGTACAAGACTTTCCATTGGGTAACGCTGTGTAAAATATAAGGCTCTTTTTGATTGGTCAACCAGCTTCACCGAATCCAAAATGGCGGCCACACGCGATCTTCGAAGATTTACGGAGTTTGGGCGGAAGATAATAGGAGTTGGCAGAAATTTCAGGTTTGGAAGTGAACTTTTGGACCTAGTATTCCGGTTAGTTTTAAGTTTAAACTGTTTTCATTCACGGCGTTCTTTCCAGGGAGCACGCAGCAGAGTTAGGAAACCCTGTACCAAAAACTCCCTTGATCTTTTTGAAACCACCATCCAGCTATCTGCAGCAAGGAGGCAAAATCAAGGTAAATCTTATTTCAATAATATCATTCATCGTAAAGATCAAGATGTGTGTCGTATAATTCCTTAGCGTCACCTTCATACCCAGCTCGACAGCCCCTTTTCCGAGCCGCGCGCAGGACCAAAACTTGTAGCGATACCCCACGAAATGTAAAAATACCCAAACGTTTTAAAAGAACAAAAATAGTTAAGTAAAGAGCAGGTGTACAAAGCAAGAGTATGTCTACTTAAACCTACTATCTGAAATATACCGAATCAAATCCCCATCTCAATCACCCCTCCCCCTAAGAAAAGGGGCTGGTGGCAGTGGCGTATCCAGATCTTTAGATAAGGGCGGGGGCCGGACATTTAGACCCTGAGATAAGAGGGGGTCCGGTCTAAAAATAAGGGGGGGCAGGCCCCTCCCCTGGTAGGTACGTAGGTAGGTAGGTTCTTTATTTAAAACTCGGTAAAATCTTCAGTAATAATAGAGTAAAAATCTAATTACAATTAATTAGACTAAAAACTATCGACATACTGTTTTACAAGACTGCCGAGTGAGAGTCCGACGACTCAAATAGATGATTGATTTGCTCTTTAAATTTCCTTACTGTTTTAATTTCTCTCACATTTTCGGGTAAAGAGTTCCACAACAAAGCACCGCTGTAACTGAAACTTCGTTTGAAGTAGTTAGTACGCGGCCTGGGCAACGTCAGTTTATGAAAGGAATTGCGCAAATCATAGTCTGTGCTTCGTTCGTGAAATAGGTTCTGCAAGTACAGTGGAGCTTGTTCATTTAGAGATTTAAACGTCATTATTGCTTTATGCTTCTTTCTCCTTATAACTAATTTGTCCCATTTGAGTATATCAAGAAGCAGGCTCGGGCTAGTCCCATAGTTGGCCTTTAAAATTACTCTAGCTGCACGGTTCTGTAACTTTTGTAATTTGTCACTCAGTTGATCACTTAAGCCATCCCAAACGAGGCTACAGTAATCAAAGTGAGGTTGAATTAAGGAGTTATAGACTAGTACCGAAGTAGATTGGCAGATAAGGGGCCTGATACGTCTAAGGGCGCCTATAGCCGAAGTTACCTTCTTACACAATTCGTTAACATGATTAGACCAGGAAAGCCGATTGTCGATAATGAGACCTAATGATTTTGCGTGATCGACATTGCTGATAGCTTGGTCTTCTAGTTTGATGTTTATTTCGTTATGGCTTTCCGCAAGAAGCTTCTGGCGAGAGCCAATAACCATAAACTCGGTTTTCGCAACATTAAGACTAAGCTTATTAGCTTTTAGCCAACAGTGAAGGTTCAGTAGTTCTAAGTTAGTCTCTTGTTCAAGGTCAGCTAGAGAGGAACCAGAAGTGGTAATAGTTGTGTCATCTGTGAACATTTTAGCGCATGCTGTATTAAGGCAGTTTGGAAGATTGTTTATATAGATTAAGAAGAACAAAGGACTGAGAATACTACCCTGTGGGACTCCGCATCTTAGTTCGCTTGCACTGGACAATACGCCATTAACATAACATTTCTGGTTCCTGTTACCTAGGTAGGAGGCAATGAATCGTAGGGAACCCAGATCAAGTCCATAGTTTGCAAGTTTACGTAACAAAATTGCATGGTTAATGGTGTCAAAAGCCTTTTTAAGGTCGATATATACCACACTATTTAAAAGGCCATTATCTATATTAATAGATAGACCAGTTGTTCGTTGTTTCAAGTAGCGCTGTCATGGTGCTATGGAGCGATCGAAAGCCGGATTGATAAGTATTCAAGAGTTTGTTTTTATCTAGGTAATCGTAGAGTTGTTGATAGATAATTTTCTTGAATAGCTTTGAGACAATTGGCAATACAGAAACCTGGACCTGACACTGGGTCATTTATGGCTCAGTCAATTCCCAGCATGCCCATCCCCCTGGGCATTTGATGGCATTTGTCATTTTGTTCTGGAAAAGCTGCAAATGCCCCACGGTGGGGCTTAAAAGTAGGGTGCAAATGCCACACCCAGGGACAACACCAAAATTGAATTTTCCAGTAAATAAGCTGCAAATACCATATTTATGGGAAATTTCTAAAACTCTGATCAAAACGCATGAAGCGCCTTATGCAAGTTGCTCCTAGCCACTGGATATATTTATTGCAAAAAAGATGACATCCATCTGATTAATATCAATAACAGAACTATAAACTAGAATTTTACATAATACCTTTCTTTTTTTCAAAGACGTTTAACAAAGTGAATGATGAGCTTAACATGAGTATTTTCTCATCAAGATGGAACTGTTTCGTCAGTGTATTGTCGCATTGATCACTCAATACAGGAAATTTATATCTCGCAAAGTTTTTCTAGGCCTTTCTGCCTCAACCATTCATGCACAAAAAAATGTCTTTTCCTTTAAACTCTTCAAACGATACATTGATCATTTTTCCTTCATGTGACAACTGATCACGATGGCGGTAAGTAATTTCTTAGATGGATGCAAAAATATTGTGGGATAGGGAACTGATGGAGGGAAAACCATGCAGATCTCTTTAAAGCATAACTATTAAAAATATTCTTTATAGAAATATCTAAAGCTATCTAAATAGGCATATTTTTAAGTAAAATATTGAAGAAGGAACGAGGTTAACTCCTAGAAGAATTGACAAATGCCCCACCCTTGGGCAGAGGTTTTCTGACAAATTCCCCACTGCCAGGACTGGCAAGATGACAAATGTCCAACAAATGCTCAAGCAGGGGGGTTGAGCATGCTTTGAATTGACTGAGCCATAATTACCTGTGAGGAGGGGAGGGGAGCTGCCATTTTGAGAAAACTTAGGAGAGTTTCAAACCGACCCCTTGACTTTTAAGAAATGATTCCCCATGAATTGTAACTTATGAAGATGTATAAGTCCAGTGCTTATAAGGGTTAGCTTACACTATTTTATTATCAGGTTCCTCCAGGGTGTAAGAAGCTACATCATGAAGTAGAACTTGGTGTTGTGATTGGTAAAACAGCCACATCTGTTTCTGAATCAGATGCAATGGATCATGTGGGAGGATATGCACTTGCTCTTGACATGACTGCTAGAGATATTCAAGATGCTGCCAAGAAACTTGGCTGGCCATGGACATTTGCTAAAGGATTTGATACTGCATTACCCATCAGTGATTTCATCCCAAAGGCAGAGATATTGAATCCTGATAATGTTCATTTGTGGCTGAAAGTTGATGGCGAATTAAGACAGGATGGCAATACGCAGGATTTCATCTTCAAGATCCCTCAGTTAATAAGTTACATCAGTCAGAGCATCACACTAGAAGAAGGAGACCTTATTTTGACGGGAACCCCAGAAGGTGTTTCACCAGTCGAGCCTGGTCAAACAATAGTGTGTGGTCTAGCTGATAAAATTGAAATGACATTTCCTGTGATATAATTGATAATAATAATTGTTATCAACGAAGTGACCAACTGCAGACTATGCTTTTGAGTGGAAAAATCTTTTATTTTGCATTTTGGCTACAAGTACTGTGGAATTCCAATTTATGGACACCCGACTTTATACAGACACCTCATTATTACAGACAGTTTTCTTTGTCCTTGGGGAAAGCCCTTAAATCTTTTTGATTAACCCACTTAATTTGGACCCCCATTTCTGATTTCCCAGCTGTTATCGTTTAAATTTGCTTCCAAGAATTTCAGTGTGTAATAAGAGATATTATTCATTGTGGTATGTGTATGATAGGCTTGTTTATGGTTTCCCTTTTATAGCATAGTCACTTTATTGATGACAGTATTTTGATACTGATCAGTGACTGTGTTCAGTTTGATGGAAGGCATCAAGTTTCCAGCCAACTAGTACCACATTAGGCTACTGACAGAACAGCTTCTTGCACTAACAATGCCAACAATGCTTTGGATTGAAACCCACCAACCATGAGTGAGATTCATAATGCACCAAACAAAAGCAATCATGGTGTTACAAAAGGTTTTAATGAGTAAATCAACACCACTGTCTGATGAAGACCAACTGTGCATGGTCTAAAATTATGTGACTTCAATACAAAGGGACTATCATGAATCATCATGAACAAGCCTATCACAAATTTCCGTTAAACCATACAATAGTTAAATTTGAAAATTAGATGAGACTTACCTGGAAGCCAAAGTTTGATTGTGGTTATTCTATGTTATTCTTACTTCCAGGTAAGTCAAAGTTTGATTGTAATAAATTATTCTACCCCATCTTAGGCACAAAGGATTACACAAGAATATTGCTTTTCTCCACAACCAGGAGAGCAGTAAGTTGCTTCTACAAACAGGAACAGCGGGTAGTTAAAGTTTACAAGTTGTATAGTTGAAGTGTACCTCTTACTTGAGAACATAATTCAAACCAGGACACGGGGAAGGGATACTGAACACAGTTGTAAACAGGGAGGCTCTGCATCTTACCCTTTTATCTTTTTTTGACAGAAAAGCTATGCCTTTCATAAACCTTCTGTTGGCAAATGTTACCTATTTAAAAATAAATTACCTAGTTTAGAACTTTGCATCCCTTTTAGCTGCTGTAAATGCACTATTTTTAAATGTGAATAAATCACAAAACAAGAATGGTCTTGACTTTTTCACAATCACAAAATGCATGTTAGCCCTTTTGGGCCTTTTTACCGACCAAAATGACAGATTTCTCAAGTGTTTAATACACCTGAGACCTGTTCAAGGTACCCCTTTTGGGCAGAGCCTTCCCATATTGGCCATTATAGGGAGTACCCCCTAGGCTATACATAGTTATTGGCCATTTTTAGGTTGTGCTTGAGACTTGGTAGGTGTTGTGTCAAATATATTATACTATGGGACTGTTTTGGGGGAGAGTGAATTTTGCCCCGGTTTCCTACACAGCCTTGTAGTAGCCTATAAGAGAAGCTATAACATTCCCAAAACAGCTTTCAGAGGTTTCAGCACAGACTCACAACAGCCTTTTGGAAGTCAAATTACAGGGATTTATATGGGAATTTATCATAAGATCAATAAAACAGTTAAAGTGCAGATAAAGAGCTATTAAAGTGTACATACCTCATAAAGACATTTGTGTGTTGTTTTCTTACATTCAGGCCCTACAAATGCCATTTTAGAAAGTTTTGATATTTTGGTTTCTCACCTACTAAGAAAAATGCTCTTATAAGGCCAGAAACTGAAAGAAAACATCACAGACACAACTGAATATGAGGTATGTATACATTAATGGCTGTTTATGTGCACTTTAAGCGTTTTATCTATCTTACAATAAAAATTCCCCTACAAATCCCTTTTATTTGGCTTCTATTAGGCTGTTGTGAGTCTGGCTCCCTACTGTGGTTTCAGTGAATTTTTTGGTCAAACTGAATATAATTATACATTTCTTTTAATACTGTGTTGATGCCACTCATCAGATAGTAAGTAAGTTCACTTATGCCCAATTCACACCAACTAAACACTTTTAATTAAACCAGGTTTAAAAAAAAACAAAAAACAAACACAGAAAACTGGAACACACATTTTTACACTGGATTTAAGTGATATTTAGTAACCTGTCCTGTAATTTGAACTAAATTTGCAATTAACTTTTTAAGTCAGTAAGCAGCTTTTATGAAAGAAACAATTTTGAACCGTGTTTAACTAAACAGCTTTTAAACAAGTTTAATCTTTGATGTAGATGGGCCATTAGCTTCACCTTCTTCATCTAGCCGTAGATTTGCATCATGATGCATCCGTACCAACACATCTGCAATTTCGTTTTTTTCTCCTGAAACTGCCACTAATTCATATGTCCCGCGACATTCTTCAGAACCATCCAAAATTTCTTTTAATTTTCGGATAAACAGAATCACCTATCAAAAGAAAAGCATCTTTATAAAAAATGTTAATGTCTGACAGCAAAATTTAAAATTTCCTTAGGTACTCTTCATTTGTTCCTTCATTTCATTTGTCATTTTGATTAAAGGGGGTTTACTCCCATTGGCCATGTAAAAAATGCATTTACTTGGCATACATGCAAGTTCTACATCTACATTTTTTTAATAGTCAGCAGAAACTATGTACAGTTATCACGCTAACGTTAAATTAAGAAGAAAAAGATTTAAAATTTAGCAAAAAAATAACAATAAATAAAATAAAGTAAACTTGTCAAACACAAGTTGGAAACGTTTCATTTTAGGTCCTGGAATTGTTGTCTGATGTCAGTACTATTAAGTCACAGCAAATCCATGCTTGTGAACAAAGTGGGAGATGTAAGGTGAAATAGGCAGGAACATGACTGTTGGTGGTAAAAACAAAACAACCAAACAAACAATAAGAAATACCGTATTGCATGGAAATTAAGTCACTGTTAGTACCCAAAGAATGAAACTGTTCATATTAACTCTGGTTTACTGTCTAATAGATACCCTAAGAAACTCATTGCTGACATCATTAAGAAAGATAATTCTTCACCATCTTGTGCAAAATGAAAGATATTTAATTTCTTTTATTAACAGTAGCTTAATGTGACATAGCCAAAAGGGAACCTATGAGTATGTTTCACTGTGTAAACGTTTTTAGTGGGACATTTTTTAGCCATTGAAAGTCTGTTGTTTTAGGGGGTCAATGCATGTTGGGTTTGAGTCAACCTCGTTCCCAGGGCCTCTCATCTTCCTGCCCAAGCGAGAGAGGAGAGACCCTGGTTGGGTCTGGGCATGTGCTACCTTGAATTTGAGAACATCAGGGAGGGTTCCTCTAGTGGGTGCCCACCTGTAAAATATTTTTTCAAACTGCAAGCCTCCCATCCAATTTTTCTTCTGGTTCCCTTCTTTCACTTTTTATCCATTTCAGACAACAGTCACTGGTTGTTGACACTTGAAAGACCATCACAGGCATGTACACAACTTAAGCAGTTGCCTCCCATTCAAGCCTAAATTTTTGGGGGGGGCTTTCTTTTTGCAACTGCTTAAGTTGCACACACACCTGTGATATGGTCTTTTACGCCCTAAATCTCTATCCCGCATATCAAATATACAAAACTTCATATATATCTTTACTTTCATAGCTGGTTATCATAAACTGGGTTTTTGTGTAAAACCTTTTAGCTTTAACATTTCATATCATAAATCCTGGTTATAGATCATCCGTTTTCTTTTGAGTATTTTATAGTTTGCTTTGGATCAAGTTACCTGCTCATCTCGCTCTTGGCGACTCATTCCACATTCTGCTTGCTGGGACATATCGTACAGGGACCTCAAGGAGACAGCATACTCCAGAACCACGTGATATTCATCGGTCCCTCCATCTGGGCGTGGCATTTCTATTCGGTGAACACTGGTCTTGTAGGTTCGCTTCGATACTCCACCTCGATTTCTCTCCATTAAGGTGAGACTTCCTGCCAATTTTATTCTTGGGTCTGCTTCCTCAATTTGATCGTATATGTAGCATGATTTTGGAATCAAAATGAACAGCTTTTTTTTCGTAATCTGGTACCTGTATTCCGATTGCCCGATCCTATCATCAAGAATCGGAAGCACCATCTTTAAGTAGCCAAAATAGTAGCCCCAAGCTAGACCATCAGCCACATTTTTGTTATTACTTTCGTTGATTTGTGACAGTTCCACGTGAGAAATTTCTTGTAAACCGACAAGAAACAATACCTGTGGTGCAAGGAAGCAGTTAAGCGAGAAAAGGATCGCGTATTCTGAACGGCAGAATGTGTTGCAATGTTCGTACAAGATATAAGACAATATCAGAAGGGACGTAATACCAACCATCAAAACAGTTCGGCCATATCTGAAAGTGAAAGTGGAAGTAAACACCATCTTCCAGCTTCCTTTATATCGAGATTGCTTGTGGCGAATTTCTTCCGTCACCAGACACACTCTTCGCACCACCTCTCTTAGAACTAAACTCAAAATTAGAAGCGCAGATCCAAAAAGTAGGAAATGAATTTCATCTCTGCTTTCTTTTTCCCCCGAAGAATGTGCGAACTTGACATGAAGAGCACCAGATAGAACGATCACAAACGACGCAGTTATTACGGCAGCCTTTCCTCGAGGCTTAGTCAGCGGTCCAAATCCATTATTTTGCTGTTGGGGATCCATCTTGTAGGAAAGTGAAAACTCTAACAGAGACGTGCTGCTGTGCATAAAAAGGGGGTCTTGATATTGTTTGCGTTGAAATCAGTGAAAGGGGTTTCCTCCATTTTCTGTTTGTGACTGTTATTGGCCGCGCGCAACTCGATGGAGAAACACTCACTGGAAGGAGATTTAGAATAAGCTTTATGGCAAACGACAAATGTGAGATGTTCTTAAAAAAAAAGAAAGAAAGAAAAAGAAACTGAGCAGGTAAAAACTGTCCAAAACAATTTTTGCAGACAACCTTACCTGAAACTCCTCAATATTCTGCACATGAATAAATGGTAGATGGCAAGTAAAGAGAATGC